TATACAGTCGTAGGCCCTCTATAGGGCGGGTATGCGCCAGCCCGATTCACCCGCCCTATACAGGGCACCCGCCCTATATAGAATCTGGCCTGTATAGGGCGCAGTGCGCCCTATACAGGGTTTGAAATATCCTATATAGGGCGGGTACCCGCCCTACTGATGGTTATGAGGGACCTTTGACGTGATAGAGGAGGAAAGGAACGTCTGTCTCTGCATCAGTGGTGTAAAAGATAGCCCAACTAGCAACAATGTGTCTCGGTAAGATGCGCCGTGCATTCAGAAGCACGCCCCTCTCAGCGAGCCGTAAAAAAGGTACACATGGCTGAAATAAATGTAGCCACACCGTACTCTACAGCGGCTGCCGAAGTTTGTGGTATTTCGTCCGTTTGGTGTGCCGTGGTCAACCGATTACTGTAGCGTACTGTATGTTCCGAAAAACGAAGCCTTACTTTTTTTGTTGTCATCACATGAAACCAGCGCTTGCAGCATTTCTACCTGAAAGAGGCCCGATCCGGGGCTATATGGAAGCTTGCAGCTTGCGACACACACCAAATGACACCATTCAAATGAAACGCGAAGGGGGGAGTATTGTCGGCGGTGGCGAAAATGCCGACTCAAACGAAAACAAGAAATGAAAGGGGGCAGAAAAAGGAGAGAAAGAGGACAATAATAAGCATCCCATACGACGCTGCCCTATTTTTGCGGTACCGAAGCGCTTCTCGCTGACAGACACGCACACCGCTGGACTGCATTCAGGATGGCACATTTACGACATGCTCGCACGGTGTGATCTCTCCTCCTTACTTTAGGCCCCTCACGCAAAGCGGTATAGCACCGCTGCACGAGGTCCAAGAACCAAACCCATATCCTCGCTCAAAATAACTCCCTAACTTAGGGTATGCTGTGCGGTAGGGGTGTGCCGTGCTGCTGCTGCTGCTGCGAGGTGTGTGTGTTTGCCCAGCAGGGCAGGGCGGGACTGTGTGACCGGCCCTATCGAGGTCTCCAGGGGTTCACACCCGCCCTATATAGGGTCGGTACCCCTATAGGGCGGGTGGTCCTGTCTGTGCCAAGGGGTTTCACCCGCCCTATAGCGGGCACCCGCCTTATATAACCCGCCTTATAGAGGGCCTACGACTGTAGTATAAAACGAGGGCCTACGACTGTAGTATAAAACGTCTTGTTTGCTGGCAACTGACTGGCCCACCTGGTCGATGAGGAAAAGGGCTTCCCCCAAGGTAATAGTCTCCTGCCGTTGGAAGCGCTCCGACAGAATCTCGGGCTTGAATGATGTAATCGATTATCCATCGATCACACGGACACAAAAGCAACAACAGCACATTGCCGTGCAGCAAGCACCGACGAAAGAGTGGACGGTGTAAGGGTGGTTTCAGCACAAAAAAGCGGACTTGTCGGGTGGGGGCATCTCCCTGGGCTTTTGTATCGATACAGCCACAAAACTAAAAAATGGACAAGACGTGCCACTCAAGCTAAAACAACGACATAAAGTACACTAGACTAGGGTACGTGGCGCCCTCAACCCTGCCAACAGCAGTGCAATACCATAGAGGCAGGCAGGCACTGCACAGTTCCACAAATACCTTTGGATTACGCATCGTCCTTTCTACTTCACCCGACAATAATAGGCGGGGATGCCAGTTTCCCCTCCATGACACAGCTCTAGTACTAGAATCGCGTTCGCACTACTGTACATGTACACTGATAGATCCCTCACCCACTGTGCTACACCCTCCCCCCCCCCCCTCACAGCATGAAACTTGTACTAGAAACAATGATATTTATGGGCATTGGTACGCCCGCTCGCGCTCGATAAAAGATAGTGATGAATGCAGTCCATGACTCTCTCAACCAGCAAGCCACCAATGACTGCCGCCTACTCCATAGGGCCGACAGAAAAACGGACAGCAAGGCAACTCAACGCGATGCCAGTCGTGATCCCTATTAAAAGTGTGGTGTGGAGATGTATCCTACCTTGAGGTCATCCATAGACGGCATCTCCGTGTCGAGGAACTGTCCTAGCTTCTCCCCCTGCACGACCGTGCTCATGCTGTAGAGCCCTTTGCCCATGGTCTGGACCATTCTCTTCGCCGCCTGCAACATGCCATGCCACACGCCATACCAGACGGCTTCGTGTCAACTTCACGCCGATCGTCACACCATCAGTAAAACTCACAGCAGCAGCAGAAGCAGCAGTGGGCTACAAAAGTCTTTTTCTTTCATGTCCCTCTCCAAAATCGATCACTGCACAAAGATATACCACAGATGCACCTGGCATGACGAGGAGCGTGATTGTCGGCGACGGACGTAAACCTACATGGTAGAAAGAATCAACACCAGACTAACTGTCGACGCCAGGAGTGCGCACTGTAATACCAGCGCTGCTGTTATAACCTTGCAAGAAATCTCTCTCACCTTCCACGACACTCGTTTGGCTTTGTCCATATGCTGACTGCAGAAGTAGTCGGAGGATATGCGTGCTCGCCCGCAATCCGTGACTAAGCAGCTGTGACCGCCAAACAAAAACAAACAATCAACAACATCCACCAGGGTTCAAGGTTTACACGTTCGGCAAGATAGCATAGGTAGCCGCGTCGAGGGACACAGACTACAAGGGCGACATCCTAACTTGGAAGCAGTGCACTATAATACCTGCGGTATGCTTCTGCTTTGGAATGTGGTACGCATGTAACTGCTGTGAGACATGCTAGCCGACAGCTAGCTTTGTTCTGTTCTACATGTCTTGCGGTCAAACTGTACGACTCCCTAGCGGCAGGTTGTGAGTTTGATTCGCTCTGCGGATGGTTTTGTTTCTCGCAGGACGTATATCCAGCAATCTGTAGTAGGATGCCATCTACGTCGCGAGTAATACATTTCGGTTTCATAGTCGACGAAGGAAAGGAATGGATGGCTGAACCATAACCCTTCTCGCGATAAAAACTAAGGCAAGCACCGCAGGGGGAAAGGTGGGGCACTGAACCAAGCAACAAAAAATGAAAAAAGTTCCTCTTGTGTGACCCCGGCTGATATGTCAGATATATACTGTACTGTACACCGAAAGGCGTGTAGACTGGCGCCAGAACACATACATGGGACGAACACACGCATATCAAACTGCATTGGCCCGCACGAACGTATTTGGTTGAGAGCAATCCAGAAAACCCCAAACGTCGGCAAAGCTATGCACATGTACCTAGACACTACCACGATACGTCAAAGAATTGTTAAACTAACTCACCAGAGTCCACCCTGCCCTTCCTCGTCGCTTTCCATCATTACGCTGTCTGCTCCCGCTCCATCCTCCCCAGCGGGCACGCTAACCCTAAGAAAGTTGGCCAACCGGTTTTCTGACGCCCCCCCCCCTCCTCCTCCAGCCCCACCAGCACCAGTACCACTACCACTACCCCCGCCGTCCTCGAACAAGGTCTGTTGTGTAAAGTAAAGCACAGCAGTGGCACAGCGAGGTGAGGAACAAATGCAAGTACACCCTAGGTTACAGGAGGCCCCGAGGAGGAAGGTGCTAATGGGGGTGGTGGTGGTGGATATTGCGCCGACAGCAGTCCAGGCGATGGGGTCATGGTGATACTGCTGTGCAACCCGTGTGCGATAATCAGCGGCTGTGGCGAGGAAGGCTGTGGATAGCACTGCACTGCTCATTTACATACTCCTCAAGTCTTTGCCGCTGCGTCGCTGCAGCAGTACAGCATTACTGCTACAAGTATCGCCCTGAGGGCGAAGCAGCTGGGCATGGCACAGCTCACCACGCGCAAACAAGTTGTGCGTGTACGTACCCTGCCCGAAGCATGTATGCAACTTGTTGAAACCCTCCCCTAAATTGCTCCAACCTAGTCTAGCCTTCAAACCCTTCGAAACTACCGCCTGTTATCGATGCGGTACATCTCGGCCCAACCCCACGAAACGACATGCAAACAGTAACAGTTGACTTGACAAGTTGCATTATACCGACACTTTTTTCTCGCCAAGCGAACGCACCAACAGAGCGGCTTGCATGCTGCTAAGCTGCTAAGCTGCTGGTGTGTCAATTACTCCGTACAGCAATACCTGTGGGTTGCCCGTGCTTGCAGGGCTGGGACTGGCCGTGAGCGTGGGTGATGTCGCTGGCCTCGGCGAAACGGAGACCGGTGGTGGCATCAGGCCCGCGTCGCCGTCGCTGGACGAATGCACGTACTCATGGGGGCTTGGGATGGGAGACGCAGGGACCGCCGGGAATGCTGTCGGGGACTCTGAATATCGCGCAGTCGAGTAGCGGGGAGGAGAGGAGGATGTGCGAGGGCACCGAAACAACCAAAGCAACGGAAGACATTCAGATGACATGAGACGTGACCAAGCTTCAAGCCAGTAATATCTACCGATGCTATTCATATCCTGCATATCCTACCGACAGACAGACACGATGGTTGGGTAGTAAATCGCGCCATGCACTGGTAGTAGCTGCGAGCAGAAGCGAGACATTCTTGAGCGGGACACAGAAAGGTCACTTGCCGGTACAGTACAGAGGTACACCGAAATTTGAAACAATTAAGCAGCTATGGTTCCTTGAGTGCAGACTTGCCGCTGGATCGTACCTCGCGTAGCGTACAAAACGACAATACATTAGTCTGCCAACTATCACAACTTATTTTCAAGTCGACAAGTCATTCTTGCATTCTTACAACATACGGTACTCTATATAGCGGTTACAGATACATGTCCTTGCAGGAAAACGTAAGGCCAACGTGGACTCAATAGGACACACAAACGGGGATCAACAGAGCCTCGTTCGTCTGTGCTACGGCATCGGATGAAAGCATCGGATTGAAGCCGAGTAACTGTGCAGCGTGGAAACCTGGGGGAGCACATGACTTCATCACCTCAAACCAGTGAGGGGCTGTTCCTCCCGACTCCGGACCAAGCAATAGCATTAGCTTTAGTATTTTTCATTAACTAGAGGAGCTCTGCGAAAACGAGGGTCTCAACGCCGAAATGAGCCCTTTTCTTGGTCCGATATTTTTAGCATCACCTCTTTCGGGATCAATAAAAAGCGAGCGCTCAAACCGCGAGTACCCAAGGTTAGGTACGTGTCAGATACCCCAAATTGCTACTTGTACTTCATTATTGTACACTCGGTCAAATCTGTTTGTGCGGGGTGCCTATGTGCCTATACCCACCGAGAGAGGGCTCGAGCGGCCAACCTACAACAATAAACCACATACAATAGTTCCTTTCTTGACCGGTAAAAAACTTCGAGTTTCAATTCGCACAATCATCGCGATCGGTGGTTGAGCCTGCCTGCTGCAGGTTTCTGCGCACACGGCGCCTCTGCTATGACACACCACATCAAGGGCTCAAGCGACTCGAGAAGGGATGCGGTTGAGTGTAGGCGGCAATCTGGAGCGCAAACAGAAAAGGTCACCACAAAATGATCGCGGTCGCGATCTTAAGTTGAGAGAGTCCAAAAATTGGGCCTCGCGACGACTTGAACTCGGTCTGTTGAGCAACTAAAAACCAGCGGTTACTAGGTAGATTTGGAGAGAAAAGCAAGTTGCTTCCTTTAGAGTAAAACCCTAACCTTCCTTCCACACGCCCTCTGTGCCAGGGGTCGAACTGAAGAAGGGTCATGTCATGTCCTCTCATCGGTGGAAAAGGCCCGTGGTCGCCTTTTTCCTCTACGCACGTATGTATCATATGATTATCCGGGCTGACTTGTTTGTCGCTCCGGAGTACCAGGTATGCCGTAAAATAAGGTATGCATATGCTAAGTTTTTGGAACTTCGAATTTAGCAGCTGGAATTTGCAACTGGCTTATGTGGCTCCGTACTTTATGGTTGATGTTGACGGACGGAGTTCTGAGCAACTCCACCGCTCCCTGAGGGCGTGTCTTAACGTCCCTTTTCTGGACAGGGAACAGGGAACAGGGAACTCGGAATTATTGTCTAATTGGCTGGCCACACAAAAATAACTTTCCTGGAAACAAGAAATGCCACACACGTTTTCCCTGTTTGAGGTAGTTACGCCGCACAAAAAATTTAAGGAACAAGTTCATTAAAATCAGCCAACAGACTATAGGGAACGTGGAACACATGCTCTTCGGTGGCAATTCAGGACGTGGTGGGATGTGTGTGATCACTCTCGGGCATGTGGCTGCCACAGGCTGCATGCTACCAGTTCAAGCAGTATACAAGCATTGCCGCCATCATTACGAGTCTCGCTTGGACTCGCATGCAAAAAAAACGGCGGCGGATGGTCGCGAAGCCATTGTATGGGGGAACATAAAGTGTCAAAGAAACGGCAAGCTGCCATGGGCCACAACTCAAAAAGCAAGCCTTCCAGAGCACTGCTGTCGAGGGTGCGGATTGCATGACGAGCACCGCCTGTTCCTGCCGATACCTAGCACATGTATTTCATGTGCGCTCGTCAACAGGTTCCTTCGAAACCTACACCACCTCCTCCTTCCTCTATCCCCATTCGTCTTTCTGCATCCGATGGTTGTATTTGTTACCTTTGAGGACATGCGGGCCGCACGGGCGCGCTCAAGTGTTCCATGTTCCCTGGAAATGAGGTGTATGTCAAGACACAACGACACGGAACAGGGAACAGGGAATTCCGAGTTCCCTGTTCCCTGTTTGGTCTAGAGCGTTAAGACACGCCCCGTGAGACTGCTCTCCACGCGGGAGGGTATTGTTCCTACTTTAGCCACTTGCCAAGGTTTGTTTGGCAAAACCTGCAACAAGTGCACGAGAAGAACACGTTGTATGCATAGCGACCAGCGCATTATGAGAAGCACGCTGTCGTCATCTATCTCTTGTCAGAGGATACAATCGTACCCTATTTCTACGGTAGTACTGCTGTATCGTGGAGTGACTGACTGACTGACTGACTTGTTCACTCACCGCATGTGTGAATCTCGCAGCAGCTGGGGCAGCAAAGAGATCCGTCGCAGAAGAGATCCCCAACACACCTGATGCATCACCACCACCACCACCACCAGTATCATCGCCGTCAACACAAAATAGGATTACACAGCAGAGACGGAACATAGGCAGACAAGAAATTAATTGCCAGGGTTCTCACAAGTCTAGTACGAACGCGAACGGATGAGATATCGTATCGACAGCACTACAGCAGTAGTAGTCAGAAAAGGCCGAAAACAACGGGCTGTGTGCCTCGAATCGTCGTGTTACACAATACCACGTACATTTCATGATACATGTGGTGCTCGTTTCATGTCCTCGTGAGCAAGAAACTCGGAGCGGTGCTCGGATGACAAACGTGAAGGACATACACAGCGAAAGTGCTAAATGCCACGTGCATTGGTGGCACTTTACTTTCGTTTTGGTCACTATTACGTGTATGCATGTAACATTTATATTTTAGATGCTGGGCGTTGTTTTGAAGCAGACGACAAGAAAAAAATCTTCATCGCCTCCCCACGCTGGTTCATGTTGTATGCAAATGCACACGCTCTACTAAAAAGTAAAAGTGGTCTTCATATTAAGTGAAGAGTGGGTGGGTGAGTGAGTGAGGCTAGCATAGGCGATAGATATTATAGTCTTCGCTCTTTCTCCCGGACAGCAGTGCGTCCGGCTTGACAGCTTGACAACAGTGGCACCAGGGGAAATGGGCTTCCTTCCGACTTCGTTCGGCTTGAGGATGGGAGGGAGGGAGGGAGGAACATGGTTACGGAATCTACCTCGGGACTAAGTTACAACGGAATTTATACGACTAAAAGACTAGATTAGAATGCGCACCATAAGCTCGTCAGAAAAAAGGCGGCATGGAGTCAGACTAGACCTATAGTCTACAGTGACAGCATTGGACTGCGAAGAGACAAGCCGCCACTGCTTTGCTCTCTGCCAGGCTTAGCCTTCCCTACCGATACTGCGACGGTTAGTGCCGTAACCACAACCACGAAAAAGAGCCACAATTACTTGGCGCCCCAGTCCGGCAACGAACTGCTGCTTTCGTTCATGTTGTTTACGTTTTCGGATCAAGACAATCAAGAGCTAAGTTTGACAGACAGCCTTGGAGACACACCTGTTGGCGCTCCTTAAGGGGCATGCCGCCAAAATAGTGTTGACAAAATAGTGTTGAGCAGCACTGTTATTTCAACGACACGAGGCGCGGCAGCCGTAATGCGTACACTCTCCGGCTCAACCTACAGCAGTAGCTCTTAGCTGTGCCCCTTTCTCTCTCAACCAGTTCAGAGTTCGGAAGCAAAGAGTGCGAATAATGACCCGCACAACAGCTGCAGCAGCAGAGAACCTGAGCGGGTGTGTGGATATGACCTGATGTACCGAAGGTGTAGAAGATCAATCTTTAGGCAAGAGAATCCACGAGTAACGTCACTCTCTGGTGGCAAGGGAAGCGGCTGCTGTGAAGGCTGCTAACGACAACAACACAACAAGCCATGACTCACGTTGAGCACACCAGGTGTCCGCAGGGCAGCAGCCTAGGAACAAGGTTGTTATTTCCTTTGACCTGGTAGTTGAAATACAGATAGCAGTTTGGGCAGCTCGTGAGATCCGCGTCCCCCGCCACCGGCGTCAGGCCTTGGGCCGCGGTGCCCATGGCCCTTGATCCCTGACGCTGCGCCATTTCGCCTCTCCTATCGCTGCTCTGCTTCCCCTTCCCGATTCCAGCAGCAGCAGCGGCAGTGTTCCAAGCAGCTCTTCCCTCTTAGACTAATATTTTTAGCAGGCGCCCAGTGCAAGCGCAAACTGGTAATGCGTACTCCAAGGGCAGCAGGCCTTGAACCCTACCACGGCGAAAGGGAGAGCTAGAGAAGGGAAAGGGGATGGTGTACCCAGTCCCTAGACCAGCCCCAGAACCGCTTGTTCTGCCGTATGTATGTAAAGGACTACAAACATACATATGTACCACGATGCGCGCGCTATGCTGGTGCACAAAAAACGCCTCCGAAAAAAAAAAAAAGCGGTGAAAATGTGATGTAAATGCACTTATTGGTGATGAGATACACCCAGCGCGTTTTGACGGCCTTCGTGTAGGGGTTGGTTGGAGAGGGGTCACGAGGCAGGTGGAATCGCAACAGCAATCGTCGTGCTTTACAAGACTTGTCCGCTGAAAACCAGAGCCGGTGACAGCAGTGACAATAAGGCACAACGGAAAGTTTTTTTTTTTTATCAGCTGCGGTGCCCGACACGACAGACACAAGCAAGCACGCTGTCTGTATTGGTGCCCGGAGGAACAGCAGAGTCGAAGGAAACCTCGAGAGAAGGCTCAACGAGGTGAGTTCGCTTCAAGCTTGCACACGTATTGATACTATGTAGTAGACCAGCAGGGTGATCAATGAAGTTATCACTACACCCGTCCGGGTAAATGAAGTGTCCGTTCTTGCGGGGCAATCAATCACACCTCGTCGTCACGCTGGCAACGAGCCGAGCCTGCATTGATCTGCTTCATTCTGCCGTATCATCTCTGCTCATGTTCCCTGTCGTCCGTGCTCAATGATTACGCATAGGTTGAAAGCCGGAACGAAGCAGGTTTGCTTAGTTGGTGTCTGCGTTAGATATGGTATGATACAACCCAGGTGATTCTTGCGTTTGACTCCCCGAGCCTCACGCTCTGAGCGGGGGGTCAATACACTGCTGCTGTATGTGATGCGTGATTTTCACACCCAGCGCACACACACATGATTGGAGCTGACTTTAAGCGCTAGCTCCTACACCCCCACTTGATCCCGACCCTGAAAAAATCTAAGCTTGCCACTCGATCCCAACCCTGAAATTCTAGTCTGGAGCTTATTTTAGGACGGTGTCGCGTTTCGCTCGAGCAAGGTCACGCTGCGGAATAACTCTTACCGTGCTGCAGGTTGCTGAGATGCCACACACCCCGTACCGATTTTCGAAGCTCGATTACTCTTCAGCAAAGTGACCGACGGCGGCGCCAAAACCGAAAGGGATACCACACACCCCGTACCGATTTTCGAACCTCGGTTACTCTTCAGCATAGTGACCGACGGCGGCGCCAAAACCGAAAGGGTTACTTGTACGTACATCCTTCTCGTCGGGGCTTTCCGAAAACGTAACATTTCCAGCTTTGAAGATGGGTCAAGGGGTGTGGTATCTTACGCAACCTGCGGTACGAGGACGGACGTGGTGTCCGGGCTGACGGACCCTGTATGCGACAAGATATCAGCTGTTGTGATGTGTTTTTTATGTTGCGAGTATGTCAGGAAATTATAAGGGTTGTGTTGTGTGCTACGGCTGGTTGCACGCCCCCCCTAACGGCGCACACCGCCTCAGGTTCATACAGCAGAACTCGTCAGTCGTTGCACGACTGCTGTCGGTTCTGACGCTGACGCAACTCTTTGCCTCCCATCAATCCGTGCTTGCGTCTCGTCTCGATGTGCCCCTTGGCCAGGGTTGAGAAGATGAGTTCGGTACAGTTCCGCCTTTTTGTTGTGTGCGGTTTGGTCGGCCTGATCAACATCGTCCTCTTCTGCGCTTGCGGCATCGCGTTGGCGAGGGTGCTTCGAGCCGCGGCTAGAGATGCCTACAGCAGTCCAAGGCGGCGACTGCTGGCGCTTGATGACGGAGCGGCGAGGCGGATGCCTGGCACGGTGATGGCAATGCTGGCGGCTTTTCGACCCTTCACCACTCAGAAGGCGCTCCTGTCCATGTTGACGTTGTCGGCAGCACGTGAGTGCTGTGCAGTGGTTTGGAGGGGTGTTTTTGGTTCACCCGGCAGTGCTTGAACGCGCGGCAGTGCTTTGTAGCTGTTGCTTCGTGGTGCGTGGATAATCCTTGACTGCTGGTGCTCGCCTGCAAGTAGTAGTGTTTCATTTGTCGTGTGTCGATTTCTGGAAGGCGATTTAATCGGACCGGCCAAACGTTAGTGTTTTTCTTCCCTCCCCACAACACACAAGACACACATGATACAACAGCCGTGCGCGGGGATACCGGCGGCGTTATCTTGTAGGGTGAACATGTTGCACCTATACACACGCATAGCATTGATGCAACAGATTTAGTAGCTGTTTCGAGTTCTAGGGAGCGGTACTGCTGGATTGCCGTGCCGATTCGACCTCCTGACACGTAAGCATACAGGAGTGCAAGCAAAGGCCTGCACGCCGAACAAGTTGGAAAGCCCATCGCCCTGCCCCGTATCCCATCCGTCGCCCCCTGAACGCAGTGAGCATCGCCTGGTCGGTGTTGGCGTACGAAGCGTGGGACCTTCTCCATGGGACACTGGATGTTTCTGTCAGCGTGGCCCTCCGTGTGGCCTTCTACGGCACAGATTTTTTTCTCGCCGCAACGACGTTCACGCTCTACACCATCCTCGCCAAATTTTGGGCAGACCTGGCCTTCTCCGCAAGGCAGGGGGCAGGCGCGTCGCGGCCATTGGGGGGGGGCGATGAGTACAGGTGAATATATAGCTTTGGCTACTAGGATGCGAACGGAACCTGCAATTATCGTAGATAGTTAGAACTAGACGGAGAGCAGGAGACAGAAGTTTGTGCCTCCGCGTCCGGCTCACTTTTTTTTCATGATACTTCCAACGCCACAGTGATCCAGTAGTCTACGCAAGTTTCCATTGTAAGCAAACGTATTGGATACGGTATAGAATCGTCTAAGTTGGAGTTGGTGTTGGGGTCGGGTCTGCATCCCCCCTGCCTGATCTTTTTTCGTAGCACAGTGAGCGTACTTTATTTTTCTTTGCGAAGGCAGTCCCACTGATCCCCGTGGAAAGAAAGCAGTGTTCCGGTGGCGCGAACGCATGCTCAACATGCATATTTATTTCCTTGAGATTGACTTCAAAACCAGCGACGGCAACTTCTATTGATTGTCCTGATTGGCTTCGTACCGCAGGCCACGAGGGACGCCGACGCTAATCTGGAAGATCACGCGAGGCGTGCAGCGTGTCTCCAGCACCGTCGTGTTCGCAGCTGCTGCTCTTGCGACAGTGTTTCAAGCAGTGCTTGTGACACTCGATTGTGAGTCCCCAAGACAACACCAAGGGAGCAGCCGGCCTTAGGTCCAGTGGGTGGAGTAGAAGGTAGCATGAACATTTTGTAGGGCATGCCGGCCTGTTTCCCTTTTGCACATTTGCTTTGGGTTGGCCCCGCACAGCCGCGCTTGCCTGCTCGATCTCGACGTTGACCCGCGCGGAGTTGTGCGATACAAGTGCTGCCTTGCTCGAACGGTAAGCCAGGCAAGCTGCCCTGAGATCGATCGACCCATTGCTCGCAAACAGCAACTCGACAAGGCTTGCTCGCTGCTATCTACCCTTGTCTTTCTGTCTGTCTGCCCCCCCAGCTATGTATCTGAACCTGTGGACGGCATACGTGGAAGGTGGTGTGTTCATCCTCGCGGCCTTCGTCATGGTCACCGCTGCCTACTACGCTGTCGTGGAGTTGAGGTTAGTCTAGTCGTGTCGTGAATACGGTGGTAGCCGACTCGGTGCACTGTTGCGTGAATGAAGTCTCTTCTTCTGTTGCAGGTCAGCCACTACAGAGGATCACCAAACTTCCTCTGTGCAGTATTTATTATATACTGCTGGGTACGCTGACCTCCTTGTCGCTCAGTCCCGCACTGACCCTCCCTTATACTTCTGGTTGCGGCACTGGGCAGGCTGGTACCCATCGAGCTGCCTACCCGTCGACGCCGGGTTTTCCGTGTGGTAGCGATGACAGGATCCGTCGCCGTCTGCCTGGTCTTGCGGGCAGTTGTGCTGGTGTGGGCGGCGGGCAAGCCCATTTTCGTCAACACCGACGTAAGTGGCAAGCAACGCGGTGTGATCATTGACGGCATCGTGGATGCGTCTGCTTCCATATTTCAACCTCTCTTGTCGGTTTCATTCTGCGGTCGAATGTGGTACGTAGTGTTTTCCAGCTGAGTGAAATGACTTGAGGAAAATCGGCGTATGTATGCGGCTGTGCAAAGCTGTTTCCCGAAGCTGGAGACCAAATCTGCTTTCGGAACGCTCCCTATTACCATACTGCTCTTTCAAGCTCGAGTGACAGCTACTGGGATGTTATTGTTTTTTTTTGCGTCAGCGCTCTGCATACCGTCAGGAAACGAAGTCACCTTGCAGGACGAGCACAAACAACCTCCCGTCCCTCGCCCCTTCCGACACTTATTACTGGTGTTGATATTTGATGCTTGCAGTTGGAGATGTTGGCGCTTCTCGGCTACTGGGTTCTCCTCGTGGCGTTGCCGTCGTCGATCGTCTTGGCGTACAACAGAGTGGTTCCCCTGTCGAGCTACTCGGGAGGGCGAGGAGGGACGGGCAACGTTAGCCTACGGTGGACGGCCCCAGACGAAGAAGAGGAAGAGCCCTTGATACCACCCGGAATCGCAACCGGAACTCGTTTCGACGGCTCGAATACCTTCGCGGGTAGCCGCCTTCCCACTGTGCACAGCTAGATCCGCGGCGGGTTAGAGTGGACACCGCGGACGCTTGACCCTTGACACGGAGTTGACTCAGCGAAGACCATGTAGTACTACTATGTACTCGGTGTTGTGTTGAAGTTTCGGTACGCGCCGTCGCGGGGTTTTTGTCTTTTCAGAGGCCGCTCGGTGTGTCCTTCCTTGTGTTTCATGGCTGGGCTTGTAATGGCGTAGGTACGTAGCCTTCGTTTTCTGTGTTTAGTATGTTTCTTGACGCGGTTTGATCCCTTCAAACAGCGATTGGTAGCGTTGGTTGGCGAGAATTGTCACGAACAAGCGCGCTCTTGCTGTTTGTCACCGAGGTATGCATATTTGCGAACACCACTTGTGGGGATTTCTCATTAGGATAAACACGTGCATTGTCACGGGGGGTTAGATGACGAATGGGACGTATCCGTTGGACCGCACGCTTGAGCGTCGTGGAGGGGTACGTTGAGTCTCTGGCCCTCCGGTTTGGTGCTGCATTGGTGTGCCCCATGCTTGCGGCAGAGGTGGCCGGACTGACCACCGCTACCTGGTACCCCCAGTACTTGTGACCAATGCGAACAGCAGTAGGAGTGTTGTAGGGATTTTCTAGAATGCGGCTGAAGAACGGTTTGGACGCCACCGCCGTTATGCAACAGGAAGTGGGTGCTAGTTGCGTGTGCGTGCATGAAATGAGAAGATGGAACAGAGTGGGGGTGTCACGTCGCTGGTGCCTGCAGTTGTTTAGTTGAAACGTCAGACTGACATAATCGAAGCTCACACCGTCCTTCTCTGAGCCGACACACGAGAGCTCCGTGCATATCGCTTAATGGGAAGTTTCTTCAGAGGACCGACCCTGCTGAGCTCTCCTTATAAAACGCTGAGACCCCTACTCTGTGTCGGAATTTCTTAGCTTCGTGTCTTGTTTCCCAGTTTCGGCTGGTTTTGTATTTTTTTAGCTACAGCAGTACAGGTTTCACTCAGACTCGCCAAAATGTGTGCTTTTTCGCCGGGACACCCTCCGTCGAAAGCCGATCCAACGTGATTGGAGTAAGCAGGTAAGGGATTTATCCCTCCATGCATTGCTCAGGTGTTTTGTATTTGATATCTCGTCAAGGTTGCGGGATTTGGACATTTGTGTCTACCATGCGCGGGTAGATACCGAATACGACACAAGATAACACACCCCCTGGACCGATTTTCAAAGCTCAATTTCTCAACAGCAGAAAGAGTGGGGGTGCCGAAAAGGGGGGCGTTGAAACCGCCTCGTCGAGAGCTTTCCGAAAATGTATCGTTTCGTTTGTGCATCCTCTTCGTCGTGGCGTAATCGAGCTTTGAAAATCGCTCGAGGGGGTGTTTTATCTCGTGTCGTATTCGGTAAATAGAAGAGGTCGAACGCTTAAACGCTTTCAACTGCTGTTCCCAAACACTTCGGAGGACGTCGATTTCCGCGGTTTTCGTTACACGTTCAAGAGGCAGTGGAGTGCTGATTTATTCCTTTATGTTGGACGACTCGCATGGCTCAGACACGCAGATACACCACGCACGACCAGCACAGGAGGACGAGGGGCACCCGCAGCAAGGTACGAGGATATGGGCATCGGGGGGGGGTGCTGCACGGGGGGTTCCGTGAGAGACACCCAAGACCCGCCGCACATTCCACATGACAGACGAGACCGAGGGATAAATCCAATCCAAACCAAGCGTCGAGCGCGTGCACACATCCCTTCCGGTAGGGCACCTTGCCTCCCACCCCTCCTTCGTGACTCCCTTCAGCAGCAAGATCTTTGCAAGGTGTACCCACGGAAGGGTGCCCCACTCGCTCCCGTCACTGGATCTTGCCCTCTCCGTGGGTGTTCTTGATCACCTCTGCTGCTGGTGCTGTTGCTCGGGAAGGCTTTGTGTGGATCACGCATCCCAAACGCGCGGAGTTCCGTAGAGAGTTCCTCCTGCCAGCTTCTCGCGCAAAAGGTGAGAGGATTATTGCCAGGAAGGGCTGAGGTCTCCATGGTACGTGCATGCACAGCGGGTGGGCGCGTCCGCGCCTCCCGCCACCGGCCGGATGCTGACAATATCTTCTCTTCCTTGAGCTTGCTTCTGTTCACACACCTACAGTATCTATCCACACCTACCTGTTCATGGTTTCGCTCTTCGGCTTCTGTCTACCTGAGCCTCATCCGGATACTACTTCATTCAATCCTCGAAACGCCGGATGCTTTGCCTTGTCTCTGTCCACCGTGCTCTTCCTGCTCTGATCACGTCTTGTTCACTGCTGCTGCTGTACAGGCGTCACGGTTTCAGCATACATGCGTAGGCGAACTTCAGCTGGCGAACGTTGGCAGGTGTACACGAACTGTTTTTCGTTTTTACTCTTATTGGAACAACTACATGCAACAGCAGTTGATCTGTTTGGTGAGTAAATTGACATATTATTATTGCGGGACACACATTTACCACCACCCCGTCTGAAGTTAGCAAAAAGTAATGCTGTAGTCATCGCACACCCGCTTGTTGACCTACGTTCAGACAACACACGACAGGTACACAGCTGTAGACTGCTGTGTACTGGTGTACAGTAGATGCGCACAAACGGTGTTGAACAGAGTCTGTCTACTGTAGATAGATGCCGTCGAGAGGTCTCCGCACACGTACGTACGTACGTATCGATCGGGATCAACGCGAGGAAAACAGGGAGTGAAATGTTTTACCGTCGTGTGTGTTGTGTTTTTCTTCAGGGTGCACCACTATAGCACACCCGACGAACCAACTACACTACCAGACACCGTCCGTCTACACCTTCCCAGCATAACACACAGAGAGATGATGCACAATATGGCTACCAAACTATCTTGTTGACTCGTTACCCACAGGGGAGATATCGCTGTGTGCTGCTCGGGAAATCGTGGAAAAGCAGAACTTTCGCAGACGCTATGGATGGATCCATTGCTGTTGTCTATCGACTCTCTTCTAGACTATAGATAGAGAGAGATAGATGGATTCGTTGGGTCATACTGACAAAAATATATAATAGCAGTCAGTCAGTATAGTAGCCGCAACGCCTTGTGGGCCAATCAGCGGTGGCTGCGTTCGACGTTGTCTTGCGGGATGAATAGCGGGGGCGGAGTTAATTCTGGTGCTATACTCCTGCTGTACACTGATGATATGGACCACAGCACAGTTCAATCCGACCTGTACAGTCCCCTCTTATTGCGCACCTGTACATGATGAGATCTTCCTCTAAATTTGAATATGTATCCACCCTTCCTCTAAATTCAAGTTGTTTCGTTTGATTCTGCGAAACGCCATCCCCTCTTCACAGCCCTTCTCTTTGTGAGGAGTCTGTCGCGAACCACGATATGCTGTCTGCTGTATGGGTGTAGTGGCGCTCTCCGCCGCCTCTCGTGAGGGCATTGAAAGCTTGAGAACTTCAAACTCAGCAGGATTCTGCAGCACGAAAGAAATAGAAACTTGATGGACACAAGAAATTGGACAACGTACCCTGAGTTTCAGCCCTCAAGAAGAATTTGAGGCTGGACCGGAAAGTGACGTTCTTAAAGGCGGGCGCCAACTGCGCACATACATACAGCACTAGCCTACACACTCGTACATACCTACAGCAGCAGCACGGGGCCGAAGTTGGTAGGTATCTTGTAGCAGTGCGCTGCTGGGAAGCTTGCCTGCCCCCTGCTGCTGCTGCTGCTGCTGAAGACAATAAAAAGAGAGACAGGCGAGGGTCTACTGCTAGTGCTGCTGTAGTCTATTTAGACTATCTAGCGTCGTTTTCTGAGTATCAACTTCAGGGACAGAGACAGAGACAGGAGCAGAGGCAGAGGCAGAGGCAAAGCGACAGACAGAAGCGCGGGAAACAAATTCTCGGCAGATCAAGGCAGACACACACAAAAGTTTCGGATGAGATGGAAACACGAAGATCAAGGTAGACTAGATGTTCCACAAACTCCGAAGAACGTCACGCATCCCCAAAGCTCACCTGTCCTTACGGGGTTCGCGGGGGATCGGCGCCTGCCTCTACGTCCGGTAGATGAAAGAAAGGAAGGCAAGATACGCTGCCCTGCTGAGAGCTGCTCTCACCCAAAGGAGGAAGGGGCAGCGTGACCAACGATGGCTGGACAGACTTTGTTTGGAACCCTGTAGATTGTGGCGCAATCGAGCTTTGAAAGTGGTCTAGGGTGTGTGCGATGATCCCACATTCCCACTACCCGTTCACGGTGTACAGCATACAGCAGAGTGGTGTAGACTAGGCACATGGGACATTCGGAATAAACGCGGCGTAATTAACTTGGGTGAGACTGTGCTGCTGTGTTCACCATACACCTCGTACCCGAGATGCGAAAACAAAACACTTCATGCGTCGACTACAATCACAGAAAGACGGTATGTACCCTTTTGGGAAACAAGACAATGCCCCAATCGCAGGGATTCAGATGTGTTGACTTTTCTTCTTTGCAGGTACTAGTCTACATGTATGATACCTGCAGCAGTTAGGTATCTTATTTTTGTAACCAAACGGGCCGCATTGATTGATTGGTGAGTGGAGCCGAACTCAGCACTTTTGGTTTACAATGTCGAGCAACTCACACAGCAGCAGCGTCCCCAAAGGAACGCTTTGTCTTGGTCGAACTGTCCCATAATTTCGAACAGAGTGGTGTGCGTCGTTCTAGTTTCCGAAGCGGCATCGTTGTTCCACATGTATTTGAGCACCGGCGACGTTGGTTATGTTCGTGCAAATTATTTTTGTTGTGGCGACGGGGAGCCACCGTGTAATTTCCGTCGCAGGCAGGAGTAACATCGGTAAATCTTCGCAATGGCAGAACACGAGGTTCGATGTTGACAATTTTTCAAATTTGAAAACAAACGCAAGAGCACCAGAAATGGCACACGGGAGACACAAGCTTGACCAGTCAGAAGGCATCGCGAAAAACAGAAATCGTTGATTCTCGCACAGGACGGCAGCAGCAGAAGCTTCTCAAAACATTCATACCTTTCACGCGTCCAGATGCCTCCACGCGCCTCCTTTGAAATCAATATAAAAATTCACCATTCTATATTCAAGTCAAAAGAGACAAAACGGCAGGCGCTCAAATAAGCTCTGGGTTGCTACGAACCTGGTGCATAGTACTTATATCACTAGAGGACATCCTATAGCAGCGGAGGGTACGTGTTAGCGCGCTCAAACCTGCTCTTCTTCTGTGGTGGTGCTATCGAGGGTCGTATTGCGGTGGTAGCGGCCTACAATCTCCGTAAATCTCCGCAAATTAGACCGACACCCAGTGTCTTGTACTGCTTGTGCTCGCCGCCACGGACCCAATCTCTGAACTGCGGGTTCACAGCAGTAGCTGATGCCACTGCTGACAACCCTCCGTTCAGGGGTTTACGGTCCGTGGCGGTGAGCACGGCTGTGACAAATAAATGTTGGATGCCGCTTGGTTCCGGCGACGATTTTGGACTGTTTTCAGAGGCTGCCGCGACCTTCGACCTTTCAGCTCCAGTAGCAGACCTGAACGTGCCAGCACGCACTACGTCTGTTGATGGTGTCCTCTACTGGTTTTAGTACTAATTACCAGGGTCCTCAGGCAGGAAAAATGTTTTATTTCTTTATGTTGGATTAACGTATAAAACATAGAGCCAGCGTCAAAACCCCTATTCTGCCCCCCCTTAATGTACGGTTCTAACGGCGGTGGGCTTGGATGTTGGTTGACGAACAAACCGGTATTTCAAGCTGTTGTTTATTGCTGAGATTCGACACAACACCACATTGTATTACCACTCACCACTACTTCGACTGTTGTTGGTTTCCCTCAAAGGAAACAGGCGGCGAGCCTCGCACAAAAGTGGGAACCTGTGTTGTTTGTTGTGTTGTCGGTGTGTGAAATATATGTTACAGTTAGTGGTGGAGAGACACATCGTCTGCGATCTCTACATACTACTGCACCTTTCGTTTGATTTTTTTGATTGGAAGTAAATATTTATTAAGTAAGACTACTGTATATTTTAGCTACTCGTGACTTGGACGATCGCCGCACGTTTTCTTGTGGGACAGAAACGCCGGAAGATGAGAAGGCAGGTCATGCAGAGCATTCAGAGGGATGCGACCTCTACTCCATCCGATTCGCCCGTTACAACACCACCTGCCGGTACTTCGCCTGCCAGTGGGTCTCCGTCTGCTACCGCTCCCAGTACATCTTCATCATCGGAATCTTCGTCTTCCGATACGTCGCCATCTGCTAGATCGTCTCCCAGTAGGCCTTCGTCATCATCATCGTGGTCATCATCATCATCGTCGTCCTCTTCTTCTTCCGATTCAAGGCAAGGGTCAAAGGATAGGTGGTTGATCCCGTATATATCAGCTCTATAGGTTCCTTTGCAGTATATTGCAAATAGACTGATCTCGGTAAACATCGCAAAACGGGTACACAACATAGCATAGGTACCCATTCTAAAAGAGGAAAAGATAAATTAATGTAATTTCCAGCGTGCGTTACTGGACCAAGCTCGACGCTTGGTTCGTACACTCCTTTTCGAGAAAACGACAGAGGATGTTCGAAGTGATACCGTGTGACCCCCAAGACGCTTGCGGTCCCTCGCAGCTTTCCGTCGTGCTCGTTCCGAAATCAGAGCACGCAATGCACGTACATACCACCAACAACGAACTACCCGTGTTTCGGGGGAGATAGTTTCAGCTGTGACACGAGCTTGGCAACATGTATACAATTTAAGGCTTGCCTCTGTCGACGCTCTCTGTGTCAACGGCATCAACTCTCCCCACCAGTTAGCCACCGTGGTAGGGCGGTACTACTGTTCGTTTGTCTTTCGAGACAAACACGGAATCGACCTGTTGCGTACCTCTCGTAGATACATGAAGGAGAAGATGGATCTGGTAGGAAACGGATGGCCAACTGCTTTTGGATTACTAAGGCACCAAGGTCCCCGTGATGGAAGCGGAGGGCATGTGACCAAATCCTACAGTTTCAAAATGAAAGCAGCGAAGCCATGGCACACGGCGTAGCACAACAAGTGGTCATGTGGGTGGGCGGTAGGCATAGCAGACTATAGTTATTTGGCAACTATCACTACAGAGGTCGCCTCCGGAAGTTACCCCAAGATGATGGGATATTTAGGTTGGTTTACATCTACACACCCGTTTGCATTGTTTCTGCGGCTTCACGGTGTTGTGCATATCACGAAGTACATTTCGTGTGTTAATGCACCAACGATCTCGAACGTAAGTGTAGCCGGTATTATCGCTGTCTTGTCCCATTTCTTCACACGCCTCACAATAGAGGTTTCTCCATGTCAGTCTTTCGTTTCACCGTACGATGTAGCCTTGTTCGTTGGTTTGACCCTCGCGCTCGCCCGGGGATTTGGTTCCTCTGCTGCTACTGCTACTATTCGTGCGTGGGGCTGCCGTTGATCACGCCTATATTGCTGGACTAGAATCACCGACACCAGGGCCTGCAGGTACGGCGTCGTGTGCTATGACCCAGGGGGGCATGCGGTGCATGTGTATCCTGGTGGAGACATTGGACGTGGTCGCCTGGTGAGAATCATAGAAGTGTTTCGTTTTTGTCTATTAGGCCAAGCAAGATTTCAAGGTACTCTTGTGGTTGATCCGATCATTTGGAATGTTCCTTCTTCAACCTCTCAATTTATCTCCGTTGACCTTTCCACAGAGACAAGTTCACGAAGGAGCTCCGCATTGTCTCCCAACATTCATTCTGCCCGCGTGCCCTTATTTTTCATTCCGAGAAGTGTCCAACAATCCATCCACTATATTATCTAACAGCAAGCACGTTTCTTGGCTGCGTAGTACCGGGAGACAAGCACCTCGAAATGAGTGAGCGTACGATGTGATTCGGAGGGCTGCGGCATTTTTACTTCGATGCTGCATTTTTAACCTTCGCGTGCAATTGACCTTGTCTGTTGACGTAACCATGTGGTGTGGGCAGCGTCGAGGCAAACCGCCAGCTTGGGGCCCGAGGCCGTCGGACGGCGGGCGCGCTGGGACGGTCATCGCAGCTGGCTGCCGTGCCACTGGCACCACCTCCGCGGCGACGGGTGACTCTACCGCTAGTCACATCTGCGCCCACACTCTCGTTTCTGGCCACCGCACCCAACTCGGCAAGGGAGAGACAGAGACGAGTAGAGGGTGCAGCGCAGGAAGACAGCGGCAGGATCCGCCAGGGACAGGCCGCATCGCCGGCGCTTTCTTCTCCGAACGGCGGTGTTCGTGGCCGCGGTGGCCGGAACACCGACGACTCTCTGCTGACCCTCGCGCGGGCCGCCAGCACCACAGCTACTGCGCGCCCCGCCCGCCGTACCAGGAGCCGTACCACCGCCATCGCCAACACCGCTAGTGCCGCTACCGCTACCATCCGCGCAAGCTCCATCATCTGCAACACCAACAGCACCACTGCCGATAATAGTACCGCTGGTACCCCCACCGCTAGCACCACCACCAGCGGCCACGCCACCATCACTGATGTTGCAGGCCGCCCCGGCCGTACCGCCCCTGCGACCGCCACCACCACCGCTAGTACCTCTAGCACCGCTACCTCTAGCACGAGCGATAGGACGAGCGCCAGCGCCAGCGCCAGCGCCAGCGACACCACCACCGCCGCTGGTAGTACCGCTGGTGCCCGCACTGGTAGTACCCCAATCGACGGCGGAGCCACTACCGCTACCACAACCAACCTCCTTTGGCGTGGTGACTCAAACACTAGCACAAGCGCCAGGTCAAAGCGTCGATCAACGCGGAGTGCTGCCGAGGACCACGACGGGCACCGTAGCCCACCTACCGCTTCATCTTCCCCGAGGACTCCGACGACTCATTCTAATTCTGAACGAGCCACCTCCGGCCGCCAAGCATCCACGGAGCCTCTCGCCCAAAGCCTGGCACCTCCACCCCCCACAGTTGCCTCGACGTCCACCGTCTTTCCGGGCAAGTGGGTCGAGTCGGGTGGATTTGAGTGTGGAGTTGATGGGCGCGGGGGCAGGTCTAACCCCGGCGCATTGGAGTGCTCGGGGTGCACCCAAAGTCTTCGAAAGGGTTGGGCGTTCGGGTGAGTTGAAGTGGGGGGGGGTCTACAGCACAGGGCTCAGGGTTAACCAACCCGTCTGCTGAGTTTAGCGTTCCTTTACATGGTGCATCAAGACAAGACACATCTGCTGCTTTGTGCTATGTACTCTGTGTGTGGATCATGTACATTATTCGCTTCGCTTTGCTTGTGTTGGAGTTAGAGACGCAGAAGTTGGATGGAACGATTGTCGGCAACACCGCCATGATAATCGTGGTTGGCGAAACAAGGAGGCGGCGGCCTTGAGCACTAACAAAATAATATTATCATCATTTTGAGCATAGAAGAGCATACTGTAACTTCGTGTTGAAGCACTGCTGTGTTACTTTTGATGCACGGGGATCATTACACCGGCTAGCTGTTTCTCGAGGAACCTTTTGAATACAGAAGTAGAAGGGTTGCCGACCTCTTCCCGCTTAGACAGTGCTGATATGTAAACAATTCGTTTTTTTGTGTTCGTTTTTCCATGCAATATCAATCAGCGCGGGAAGGGACAGCGTGACCGAGATTAAGCTGCTGGATGAGGTCACGTTCCGTGGCCGCAACGGGTTCACCTACACCGGTTTCATCGTGGCTTTGAATGGTTCGACCGAGATTTTTCCCGATGGCTCTGCGCTCGTCAAGCACTTCGATGCCCTGTATAAGAGAGATAGGTGGGGACCAGACATTCCATCCCGCTTGGGTACAATCGAAGTGATGCTGTATAGACTATATGGATACGGCGGTTGCCTTCTTGTTGGCAGATGGATATGTGTGTGGAAGTGAAACACGTCAATGTACTGCGTTACGCTGTATGAACTCTTCCTGAACGGCGCCCTTGAATACCTCGCAAGAAACGATGTAGCTTGTGTAGAAGTTCTAATGTTTAGTTTGGTTCCACCCTCTACTGCTGTAGTATCTACAGTCTACCTTCATAGCTTCCTTACCCTCACTCTGACTTCTCAATAGTTGTACGGCGTGCAGTATAAACAAAACTTTTTGTGACGTGGATGTGCAAGTATGTTCCTCTTGCTAAGATCTGGTGCCCTAGCCGACCGACCAACCAGTCTTTGCTGGAAGAGGAGAAAATATATGCTCTCTTCTCCACGTCTCTTGTGTGCAGACGTATCTCTCTGCCCACCCGTCTACCTGCTTTGCAATCAGTGTTGCGGTTCGAGACGGATCGTAAGAGAGGTGTGCATGGACAGCACCTTTGGTAGCGTTCTCGCTTGGTAACACTCATGTTGGAATTGCAGGTCCGCACGTCAATCTGATCTCTCTCTCTCTCTCTCTCTCTCTCTCCGACTCCCGCACCAAACTGTCTGTTGCTTACACGCTTCTTTATCAGGTTTGACGAGGACGTAGCTCTGTCGCGCATAACGCCTCCGGGGTGCACTGGTGGCTCGGCCAAGAGAGTCAGGAAGAAAGTGGATAGGTTGATGAATTCTTCTTCGTCTTGAGGCGGTCAGAGAAGAGAAGAAGGGACTGACTGCTGTTGTTCAGTACTTTCCGGTCTATACAACGGCTTCGGTACAAATAAGACGTGGTAGGAAGTGCAAGCAGGCGGAATCACGCGCAAAACCTGTACTATTTGAGTTTGCGCGTTGTTGAATGGAAGGTAAAAGCATACGGTGGAACAACAAACATCGTTGCAGATGAGGTGAAGCTTGTAGTACGCGTTCGTGTGCTCAGTGCTGTGGAGCGGTGTGTCGAACAACAGAGCACTTTGTTGCCTATCCAGAACAGTTTCAGGAAGAAGGTGCAAGGCGTCGGCGGGTGATATCAGGGCAGCGATTAGTCTATCAGGACCAGTCCATCAGGACCGACGATGAAGAAGGTAACTTTGCGGAGCATTCGATGATGATATGGTTTTGATCGGTAGCTCCCGCACACGCTACAAACGAATACCTTTGACGATACCAACTTGGCGGCGGCCGACTACAGAGCCAAGAGTGGTGTCTTCGGGTCGGGGGTGGGATTGCGGGGGGGGGGGCGAGCTATTTGAAGGCACTGACCTCCTCAAGTTTGAAACCAACTGCAAGTAAGTAGCGAGATGGACCGACATGATAGACCCCTGCTGAGTGTCGCGTGCCGTGCGCTGGCCCAAACCATGTGTTGTGCGTGTTCGCGAATCGCGAGTGCGTACATTGGACCGGTAGGAGTCCGTACGGAAGGCGGTTCATTGTGATTATACTGTCGTTTTCATCTCATGTTTTCTTAAAGTGTTATTGTGATTGTACTGATTAGCGTTGCGTTCTCTCAAAACTGTTCTTATTATTGTTTTTCATCTAGTATGTTCTGATGTTTTATTATTACTGATCTGATGTTTTATTATTTACAATTATCACAGTTATTATTGTTGTTATTATTGTTGTTGATGTTGTTATTGTTATTGTTGTTGGTGTTGGTGTTGTTCTGGTCGATTGTTGTTGTTGTTGTTGTTGTTGTTTGCATCGAGCATTTCTTGCCCTTTCAGTCTACACCTGACCTGTCGGTACGTATTTGACGTAAGAGCCGGGGTCATACCGGAGGAAGGGCAACATAGGAATCACCCGTGTTGTCTTTTAAAGTGAGAAATGGTGCAGGGCGGGGAGAAGGGGGTACGGAGGAGGTGGTGGGTGAACCCATAGTAGCCAAACAGGCGCGTGTGCATGGGCAAGGAGCATGGTTCCAATAGGAGGTGCTGGTTAAATGTAGGGTTGTTCTGAGTGTTGCACGTGGAGTGTTGGTGTCGTAATATGTACTGACGTTTGCGGCGGCGTTGTAAGAATAATAAAAAGAGTGAGAGTGTTTGTGCAGAGAGGAGACTTCGGCGTTTGTTTAGCGCGCCAAAGTAATCCTCATCGTATCGACTGCAACGCCACTCCACACTATCAGGATGGTTACGAACGTTGTAGAGAAAACGCTTTTGGTCTTTAGTCTAGACTACGTGCTGCTCGGAGTATCTATTTGTAAACCTCGAATCTGGGTTCTGTCCAACGAGCTGTAGGCGAAATTTGGGAAGAAGGGGTTGTAAGGGGGGTCATAATTGCTTGAAAATGGAATGTTTTTTTTTTGCAGCACTGAAGGATTGGAAACTGATCCGGCATTCTTATTGCTCGGACGACAAACAAAATTGTTTAGCTGGCTGGCACCGTCCGACTCCTGTAGTTCATAGTCGCATACAAAAATCAACGACGAAGCTACTGCAGAACACTGCATCTATCTATTTGGAGCAAACAGTCGAACCCGGTTCAATCAATTGTCGTTGCTGGAGTACTGTTGTACAAAATACTGTACGAACAAGGAACAGCTCTCTCGCTTTCGCTCTCATGGTTGCGTTTTGGAGGACATAGACTGTATTTGTTTTAGATCTTTCCCAACTTCAGGTCGGTGGTGTACAGAACGACCTTCTATCTGTGTACATGTACATATGTATCCATCCGTGAGGAGGGTTCAGTAGTATAATAAGATCGTGATGGCAAAAGTTATCGTCCAAAGTCGTGGGAATTCACTCGCCCAAACATGCCGAAACGTGTGAAAACTGACGGCCAGAATAAGTGAGGTGACAGCACGTACATACTCCGGAGCATTCCCCATACGCAAGACTACTTCGAAGCGAAGCGCACATGCTGTACATGCATCTCGACATCTCGACGACCGACGACGGTTTTCGTGGCGGTTACCGTTTCAGGTTTTGGTTTTTGACTTTTGGTTTCGCCGCATTCCGCCCTCCCCCCCCACTACGTCCGCGCTCCATCGTGCGCCCCCCCCGCCGCATCAGCCCGGGAGCAGCTGCCATGCATGTCCCATCCCGTGCTGAACTACGTGGGCACGGGAGAGATGGGAAGTCGCCGCGAGAGATCACTCGTGTGGGCAGTTGGTGGAAATTCCAAGTGAGTTGGCTGATTGCACTAAAGTTACAGGCGTATTCAAACGGCAGGTAGCCGAGGGACATGGGTGCTGCTGCTGTCGGGGAGATAGTCTTGAGGAATAATAAAAACACACACAGAAAGACTACCCATTCGAGATATACCCACAGTCGAACGGGATGTGGTGGAGTCTTTCAGTGAGTGGAGGGAAACCGGCTGGGTACTGGACTTATTTCGAGTCTTTTAAAGTCTATACACTGATGATTTATACCAGTGATGCCAGCTGGTGCTAAGTATAAAAACATCTGTATAGGTAACTTACATTTTACAATACATCCCCTTTAGTTCTCTCTAGTCTATTCGGGCACCCACGCGTAGGCCGTACTGCTGTATGTATAATGTATGATACGAAGCAAACGCGATGTGTATTACTCGTCCTCAGCTGAAGATAACGCCCACACGTACCGCGTCTGCCTCCTGATGGGTGTACAGGGGGCAACTGGGCAATGGAACACCTACGCAATCTAGTTTTTTGCCGTGCAGAGTGGCCTTCCAGCTAGCGCCAACTCAGCGGATAGCCGAGGTGAGACGGAAGCGCTGTGTGCGAGAGAGACCCTGTACGCATGGTGCATTCCTCCGCCTGGCCGCTTTGGGCGGTGGGTGTTTCCCCAGCAAAAACGTGACAAACACACGTGAATGTAGCAGGCACAGACCAGTAGATCTTGAAGAGAGTTCCGTTTGTGCAAGTCTCGAGACCCAAAAGAGAAACTGTGTTACATGTAGCAACCAGGAGCATTCGGTATGCAGATCTACTATGCTGCTGAACAATGTACTTATGCATCAAGTCTTTAGATGTAAACAAGCGTCCACTTGTAAATAGCACATGTGAGTGTGTTTTCCCCTGATCTGTTCTGGGGCCAGTCCCACCTCATTGTCGTACATGTACAGTACAGCAGTAGTAGTAGTACATGTATTTCTGGTGTTTTTGACGCAGTATTGTCTAATAGCAGCCGGGGTCACACATGAGGAAGGTCACACAGGCACACAGGAGCTTTTTAGTTGTTGCATGATGTGTTTGTTTTTAAATAGTGCCCCGCCTCACCTCCTGCGGTGCTTGCCTTGGTGCTTTATGGCAAGAAGGCTTTAGTCGTCCCTTCGAAGAACCGTAAGAGACAGAGAGTTGGTACCCCCCCTAGACCGATCTTCTTCAAACCTCGATTGCTCCACAACCAAGCTCGTGCCAGCACAAAAAAGGTGGTTTTGTTAATAGAAACATCTCGGCGAGGGCTTTCTGTAGACAGAAATGGCTGTGGAGCAATCGAACCGAGCTTTGAAAGTTGGTCGAAATAGGGGGGGTGCCATATCTCCGCCTAGCACGGTAATGTGTATACTCACGACCTACCGGGTTTCCACCGCAAATTGCAAAGTTTGTTTCACGTGAAGAGAGAGAATCGAACTCACAACCTGCTACGATTATCAGTAGACTAGGTTTAAGAGGGAACAACCGGGGCGACCTGTGTTTGTATTCTGAAGAGATTTACCAGTGACGAAAGAGCTGTAGTCCAGCAGAATCAGTACAAGTAGTGAAAGAGGAAAAGGGGGGTGGGGAGGGAGGCGTGTTTAATCGTCAATCGATTTGATCCAGCGTGAAACGTGAACCATCTGGCAAGCTGCATTTTAGTCCGTGCCCTACCCTACCCCCTACCCCCCCTCGGGTCCCCACGGTGGTCTGCCTACAAGGGAGAGGGAGAGGGAGGAGGGGCAAACAAGCGTGGAGTGTGTGTGATCGAAGAGGTCACGAAACCTGCTGTCCTGAACGTTGGTGTCTGTATGCATGTAAACATGCACCAATACCTGGTTTGCGGTTCGTCTGTCACAGGTGTTTTGCGGATACGAGCACACCTTTGCCCTTACGTCGGATGGCGATGTGTTGGGCTTCGGCAACGGTGTCAAGGGACAACTTGGCATCGGAAACACTGGTATGATGCACTGCTCTATTTCCATGTCCTTGTGTGTACCCACCTGGGGTACGTAGTTGGCCTGTGACCGAACGTACGACCAGAGACCGAAACGGTTTTTAGTGTGAAGAGAACGGCAATGTCGAACGCACAGAACGGACCCGCAACAAGGAAACGTCAATTTTGGGTTGGTCTAAGCTCAATTTCTTACAGTATCTTGGTGCCACCATTGAGCACTAGGTTTTGCATACAGTCTAACGCAGGGCCCACCGCTACCACTGAGGTGCGTTTCTCAACGCCTTTTTTTTTTTCCCGTTAAGTTTGAGCGTGTATTTACGGAATACCATGGAATGTCTTGCTGCGGGCCCGTTCTGTAAGCGCCATGCGCTCCACTCCCAAGCTACATGTGCACCAGTTGGGAAGGTGGCGTAGGTGCAATTAGGCAATCTACGTCCCAACCCATCTGGGCGCCTTGAACATGACTTGCAGTCTTTCCTCTTGCTTCTGTAGATGGTTGTTTTGGACTGCAGTGCTATTGACCGCTGTTCCGCGTTCTGCTCCATGTTGCGATACTTGCAGACAGCCACAGCAACCCTCAGCGGGTTCATCTGTTGTCGGGCAAGGGGGTGGTCAAGATGGCGGCGGGCTTGGAGCATAGCCTAGCCCTGACTGAGTCAGGGGACTTGTATGCCTTCGGGGATAACCTCAGGTACAGTACAGTACTGAACTGGCGATGGACCACTACGCGTGTGACTACAGTAGATCATGACGTATTGTGTCATATGGACGTAATGTAGGCCGTACCTTGTACAGGAGATACGTAGTGCGCTGCCAATTTTCACGCGGGCAATAAAGCTCAAGTGTACCTTTCGCCTGCTGATTGGTCAAACACGTACAACAGTACACCGAAAGGCGTGTAGACCTGCGCCAGAATAGAATGTAGGGTGGACACAAACATACCTTGGGTGACGTCACTGTTCTCTATTCCTTCCTCCCTTCACTTTTCTGGATCCCACCCCAAACCCTGGGTTGTGCAGGCTGATTCCTGTTTTTGTGGAGACTTTGTGATACTGACTGTAGCACCTTGTGATGGTGTCTGTAGTCAAGGATACTGTAGCAAGATGAGTTTGGGGCGTGAGTTCGATGCAGCTGGTGTTGTCGTGTCGCTTCTTTCGACCTGATTGCTTGCTACTTCTGTATGCATCATTCCATTCGTCGCGTGACTCCCACCCCTATTGTGGCATTGTAGTTGTGGTCGACTGTCAAGCTGTCGAGCTAGGTGGTGCCCTGCACCCATGTCGAAACAAAGGGGAATTGTCCTCGACGTCCGTTGTAGGTAGTTGGATGCCTGTTAAAGGTCATGTTCACACTCGGCATTCATTTTCTTTGTGGGCGTGGTGTCTGATGCAGCGGCCAACTTGGACTGGGACACAACTTCACGGCGAAGGAACAGACCCCTCAAAAGGTTCCCCCGCTTGGAAGAGCCAAGATAACTCAGCTAGCTTGTGGGCAAGACCATACCGCCGTCCTCACTAGTGAGTTATTTTACCACTTCACCCACAGGCGGCGAGCGCTGTCGCGACTCGCCTCGTCTCTCGCTGTCCTGTTCTGTGAAGACGTTTGACGACGTTTGCGTGAGGAGAGTTACTGGTGGTCCGCGCTTTCCTGTCTTTCGGATGTACACGTGCTCGTGTTGGTTCCTCGGACAACGCGATTTTTAAAGGTTTTTTCCTCGAGGTCGTTGTGTAAATATATGGCCTGTGTCAAGTCTCGTGTTCGTTGGTGCTTCTGTACAGTGCGGCAATGGCCTGTAGAACCGATTTTGCTCTACTTGTAGGGTGCATTCCTATATAGGTACTTCGGCCGATATTAAATGTGGCTATCCAAACGCGCCGATGGCCAGGTTCGGGTGAACTGTTCATGTTCGGCAACAACCGGGATGGGGCCCTTGGAGTAGCCGGACACGCTAACGAAGGACCTCCAATCGTCGCTTCTGCTCCACAGGTATTGTAGTACAGTATCTCGCTATGCATATCTGAAACTTCAACGAAAGTAGAGGAGTCCCGCATGTTTTTTTTAAGGCCTTTGGTACACCTGCAAGGTTTGGGAGGGTGTTTGCAATATGGTTGCTCGACGTAAGCAGACCGCTAGAGATTATTCGTCAGGTCCGTCGTGTCGCCCAATTTCACCAACGCTACGCTCTACTGCTGCTGTTGCTGTTGCTGCTGCTGCTGCTGCTGCTGCTGCTGCTGCTGCTGCTGCTGCAAGTTCTGAATGTTCTCGTGGTCACCGCAACACCTGCTGCTTTTCATTGCTGCATCGGCGGCATTTACACGCGCGCATACAGCTTGTGACAGGTTTGAAGGGCAAGCACGTGGTGCAGATTGGATGCGGTCTACAACATACTGTGGCTCTCACAGCGTGAGTGGAAGTGTTCATATGTAGCGCACATAGCGCGGTGATATCGCCGTTTTTGTCGTTTCCGTTTAAACGCCCCTCTACGTTTTATTTGGCTACATGTGGAATATGGCGTGCATGCAGCCTCTATTGTACCGTCTCACACTTCAGGCCCCAGGCTGCCCACTCGACGCAGATTCGATTGTTGGACCAAAGTGGCGGCAAACGTGGTGTTTATGTCAAGCGCGCCTCGCAATGCGGGTCAAATGCCAGCAACACCGCGACTTGTTGTAACGAAAACGATTGCTTGACGCGCGAGGAAACGCCATCCGCAATATTCAGTGTTGCTCTCTTGCTGCTGTCGCTGCTCTCTTGCTGCTGTGATGTGCAGTGCCGGGGGTGTGTACTGCTGGGGCGAGAACGGTAGGGGGCAGCTCGGAACCGGAGATACTCAGAATCGGGTGAGCACCTTAAGGGGCCAAGTGCACAGAGGTCCAAACCCCAGCAGAATCGAGCCGAGTCGATCCAAGAGACGTGCGTGCTCGTAAGGGCTCTCGTGCTGCGCGCAAGACCGTATGGTAGGTTGCAAAAGGTACCGCACCCCCTGGACCGATTTTCAAAGCTGGAAATACAGCGACGGTGCCGAAAATGTCGGCAATGGAACCGTCGTCAAGAGCTTTTCGATAACGTAGTGCAACATTGGGTCGTGACATGCGTCCTCGTCATCGTGGTGTAGGCGAGCTTTCAAAATCGGCCCAGGGGGTATGGTATCGTACGCAACCGACGGTAGATGCTGACGTACCTATACAGTAGAGGTAGCGCTTCGGATAACTTGTCATTGCGTGGCGACGTAGCATCACCTTCTTTGCATTCCTACTGAAGGTCTCCACTCTATATCAAGCAGAACGTTGACTCATTTGATGCATTTGTCGCGTTCTCGAGCCACCAAATTGACGAGTTGAGTATGGCAATATTTCAATTTTCAGTGACGTCACTTGCATGGTAGCGGCTTCAATTGCCTACCGCATAGAAGGATGCATAACGAGTGTGGCATCATAACATTTCAGTGTGACGTCATCACCTGGCATTCCAGACTTACAGCATGAAGGACAAGGGTCTGCACCTGACCCCCGCCCCGTTGCGCCCGCTCCCTTCGCCGTTTATCAGTACACGCCTTCTTTGGTATGCAAACCCCTCTCGGCGTTCAAGTGCATACATGTGGCTTGCGGCGGGCAGCACACGATTGCTGTCACCGACTGCGATGACGTGTACGGCTTCGGCTCTGATCGACACGGCCAGCTAGGATTGGGGCGCCGTGGTGTCATCGTACCCGTACCCACTAGGTAGGTCCTAGCAAGCTGGGATGGGAGGGACGTAATGAGTCTGGTGGTCTTGGAGCTCCTTGTGTTGCTACGTTTGATTATTAGACTATATTGGTCGCTCTTGGTTGCCCTGTGGTTGTTGCTGTCGTTGTTGTTCTTTGCCGCACAGCCGTTTAACTGTTGTTGGTTGTTTGCGTATTATAGTGGTTCCGCGAGAAAACACGCGTCTCAAAATTGCGATGTTGGTCGCTTCGGGTGTCCAAGCCTTTGAATCGACTGCAGCTACGGTATCGTCGGCCACCCCACGCCTGGCGTTGTGGCGTTGTTGCGTTGGATGGTTTGAGCAACAACAACAACAACCACAACAACAACAGGATAGTGAGGCTCGGGGGGCGGCGAGTGAAGAACTGCGTGGGTGGGGCATGGCACACCATCATCGGAACAGTCACGGGGGAGCAGTACATCATGGGCTGCATCCTTCCCTCCGGTGAGACAAGCTGACGTACGTACGATGACGTATGTACGATGACGTATGATGAAACCGCCGTGTGGGTGTTGTCGGTTTGTTTCGTTTCGTGACGGCGTATGAGACAAGCTGAGGATGACGTATGATGACGTATGATGAAACCGCCGTGTGGGGTATTTTCGGTTTTGTTTCGTTTCGTGACGGCGTATGAGACAAGCTGAGGATGACGTATGATGACGTATGATGAAACCGCCGTGTGGGGTATTTTCGGTTTTGTTTCGTTTCGTGACGGCGTATGAGACAAGCTGAGGATGACGTATGATGACGTAGGAAACCATCACGTGTGTGTGTTTTTGCTTGGAATGAATTCGTTTCGTGACGGGCGAAGAAGGATGAAGACATAAAGCTGCTGTTTGAAGCTCGTCCTTTCGATGAAGAGAATGGATGCCCTGTGGTAGCTCTTGCCCACGTTTCGTCCGCGTGGTTAATCAAATCGCGTTCGCTACCTTTGGCCGACAACATGTAGAAGTAGCTTCGTATTTGCACTCGGTGAAGTGCGCGCATATTGCATCCAAGCCACGATGTGCGGTTCAACCGTGAACCCCCCGGCATACTGTACGGGATAACATCAAAATAATATCCAACCAACCTTTGCTTTGCTGGTCTGTCGCCTTTGCCCAGCAAACTCGCCCCCGGTGGCGGGAGGTGGTGCAGGCGGGGCAGCCGGAGCCACTTGTTCGTCAGATCCGTTCGCTCTGTCATGCGGGGACTTCCGTCGCCTCTTGCTTCCTCGAGGGGCCGAGGCGTGCAGCAAAGGGCACTCCCTGTTGTACGGGCAGGGCTTGGGTGCTCCGCCTAGCGCACTGCGCGAGGTATGCCTTACAGTGTCGTCTATCATCTGTATTCGCGGGAGACTAGTGCATGTACACGAGTTAGTTGCTGCCGCGCGCCGCACTGTCTTAGTGGACCAAACAAAATCTGTGCTTGAGTGACCCCCGCAAACGTACCCCAAACAGATTCTTCACTAGTGTTGACATCAGAAATGTCTGTCAGCTGTTGTGCCCCCCCCTTGTGAGGCCAGCGTTGAGCACAGGGAGTCTGGGTCACCGTGTGCAGCTGCTGCAGGGTGCTTGCTCGTGCCGAGCATGAGATAGAAAGAACATGTTCAGGCATGCTGGAGTGTTGGTGTTGAACCGTGCAATAATAGCCGTAAAAGTACAGGGGAGCGGTCCTTTCTCTCGTTAGACTTTTAGCCCAGCCGTGGGGGCCGCATTGAACCGTTTTCTGAATGTTTTCTGTTCTACTAGAAGTAGTAAATACGAATGCGACGACACACCGCTCTTTCTCCCCTTCCCTCCCCCTCCCTCTCTCCAAGGTTTCGAAATCGTTGGGGCGGCTCAAGTGCGACTTTTCTAGGATGGTGGTGCGGCAGAAGCCTGACGTCCTCTTCACTCCTCACGCCCATCACGACAGCGATAGCCTTCATGATGACGATTCCCGCATCAGAAGCGTCGGCGCAGACAGTCTGTCTTCCATCGGCGGTGCTGCTGGCAGAGAGGGAGAGGGACAGGGCAACTGCTCGAGCTGTGATAATCCTGTTGGCGCTCACCTGTCTGTCTTGAAGTGAGAAGCTCGCAACGTGGTGACAGAGATGTTATGCATATGTTATGACAACGAATGATGGCAGGCAGATACATGTCTGAGAGGCACCTGCCTGTATTGGGGGTGGCCTGTTGTGGCTGCTTGGCGTTTTGGTGTTTTGGTGTTGAGGTTTTTGTTGTGGACGTATTCGTTGGAACCAACCAGCGGACGAAGCTCTTGTGATGTTTTCTTTGTTCTGGTGTCCTGCATTGACTATTATAGTAGACTTTTTCGAGCTTCCACCATTGACCACCCGAATGCTCGATATTTTTTCCCCGCAGGTCCCATCTCTCGCTGTTTGCATCACTTTGCTTCACCAGACAGTAGAAACGTGGATGAACAATGTTACCGTAGAGCTTGATGCGAACACGTGTGCTACACTAGTGGTTTGCCATACTCCGGATATTGCAGTCAGTCTCTTTGTGGCGATGCCTTCCTTCTTTCTTTCCTTTGTCGTCCGATGGTCGTGGGGCGGTGCACCCCTCAAGGGTACTACTGTACGCCTCGCCCTCGCCTCGTGTCCCCGCTGTACTAGTACTACTCCTGCTATACCACCGACTATGATGCGATGCCTGACTGCTGTTTCAACAACCCTTGCCCGGCCACCGCTATACAATACAATACCTTCGCCACAACCTTCGTTCCGAAACAGGGCTCGCTGTCCGCCGCTGTACGAGCACGCGGCAACCGTTGTATCTCGATCTCGATCTCGACGGGCCACCGACGCAGACCAACCAGGGGAAAGAGAAACTGATTCAGACGGCCGAATGGCGGCGTGGCGTGTCTGCGCGCCCGCCGGGGTCCCTCTTGTGAGTATGAGTGTGAGGGAGGTTAGGTGACGTCAAGATTAATTTCTCGTCTTTCGGTAGTTGGTTGTCTGGGTGGTCTGGGAGCGATTCGGTATGAGGGTGGTGTACCGGTCGCGCCGATCGTTGACTAGATTTTTGCTCCGAGAGTCCGGCGGGTAGCGGACAACGTTGTATGTGCCGAACCGACCGCGGTGTAAAATTACGGAGCAACAGCATCGCCTTTGTTACGTGGGGCGGGGTGCCCATCACCGCGCATGTTCGCTATTCGCGGATCCCTGACCCCTCCTCGGTTGCACGTTCGACGTTCTCCACCCGCACGCTCCAGGACGCCCTGCAGCTCGTGATCTGCTACCTCTATCAAGACGCGGGAGTTTTCGACAAGCCGAAGCCAGAAACCGCCGAAACCGACCGCGACTACAAGTACGAAGACGCCTCCTTTTCGGGAAACACTGGGGACGCGGCGCAATCGGAGCCCAACCGAGCCCGGGACAGGCGTGACCGGCTCTTCTCGATAAGGTCTAAGGCGGGGGTGGCGGATGAGGATGACGAACAGCTCAAGCATGGCACTGCCGAGATGTCCATGAACCCGTGGGACGAGGGGGACGAGGGGGAGCACGAGACTGCGGCGGGGTTCGGGAGCTTTGGGGGTGCCTACGGGGGCAACGGCAAGTACGACGGGGCGGGGCTTGATCGCTTGGTGAGGCTCATGGCTGCCGCCAGGACGCTCAAGCTCACCCGTCTACAGGTGGGCGCGACTATTTAGCTGGTTTTGCTGCTGTTGCGCGGCTTTGCTGTGGAGTCGAGGCGTGCTCGTGTGTGTTGGCATGTTGCCGGGCAGGAAGGAAAGTGCAAAAGTCGGTACCGTTGTGTGGTGTCTCCACAAGACCTCTTTGCTTTTGTGTGGAAACAAAAGACAGCCATGGACGCGTTGGGCACTGTGGTATTTATCTCATAGGCATTGGTACAGATGTTTCGACGTAGGCCAACCAGTCAGTGTGTTTTCTCCAGTTAGTTTCTTTGCCTACGAAGGTGCCCGTTGCGTGCTCCCTCATGGACGTTCGGACTTTTGGCGCTTTTGTCAAGATTGACAAGGATCTTTTGCCGCTCCGGCTCGCTTCACGTGCTGGGCGGTTAGACTAGACCACGGGCCTGGATCTGGAGTAAAAAAAAACACAAGCCCTTCCTATGTTTTCACGACACCGATTGGAGCCATCATCGATTCTGACGTCATGTCATGTCTGCTGCAGGGATTGTGTGAGAAACGGGCAGAGGCGTTTATCGACTGCCGTACGGTCCACAAGGTCCTTCGTCGTGCCGCGGAGGGCGGCTTTCCCTACCTCAAGCGAAGGTGCCTTGAGTTCTGCCTCGTGCACCTGGGCGAGGTGAGTTCTGCCCAACACAATGCGTATGGGTTGTGATACAATGCGCGTAAGTACATTGAGTATACCGCCGTTTGGGTGCGTGGTCCATCCTGGGTCCCTGGTATGCGTGTGTGTGTTTTCCCAAGTAGCGGGGTACGACCAGCACAGCCAGCCGTGTGCAAGCTAGAGACAGTTTTTGTGCTGTGCGCGAAGGGAGAAACGTTGATGCCTTTTCGTGTGCTGTAGCGGTGCTAGGCGCTGAAGTGTTTCCCGCTGTCGCTCGCTGTGTGTGATGATGTCGAGGTTGTCTCAGGTGTGTGCCCCTCCAAACTCGGCAGAGGTGGTGCGAGAGCTGTCCAGCCACCCCCAGGTGCTTGCGGACGTGCTGAGCTTGTCGGCGGCGTCGGAAGGAGCGAAGCATGCGGCGGCCAGCGAGGAGTCTTTCGAAGGGGACGGGGCTATCCCGTGCATCGAAGCCCTCAGGGGTGAAGCTGCTTGCGTCGTCCCAGCGGAAGACTACCAGGCGAGAAGATGGCATTACTGTAGCTGTAGAATTAGCGGTAGCTTTTGTCTTTTGACCGAAACGACGAGATGCTTGCGGTACATTGCGGATTGCGGACGCTTACGAAGGTGTATGCTAGCGTTGTACATTTGTAGAAGGAACGCTTTGATTTTTGCGATTCGTGTCGATGAATCAAATGTGGGCGTGCTGTGTTATTGAGTGCGGTATCTCTATTAATAGATGGACCTCTCTTCTTTTAGTCAGGCACCCTCTCCCCCCTTTTGGTTATTATATAATACAGTCAAAAGAGAGAACCCTGACCCTATCACCCTCTCACTTAGAATATACTATGGTCTTGGTTTGATGCATGTTTTATTTCCATCCCGTTGCGCACTTTTCCGTCAACAGGGCGATTTCCTCGCGCTGTTCGAAGAGATCGCCGCCGAGTCGGTTGCCGCGGAGGGAAGGGAGGAGATATCGCCACCCCGCCCCACACAAGCCGGCCACGCCGCGAAAGCCCACTCGGATGAGAAGAAGAAGAGACAGCCCACACCCGGCCCCGTCACTTCCTTCGCCCAAGGCAACGACAAGGGCGAGCTCCCGAGGGCTTCCGGTGATGGAAAAGGAGAAGGAAGCGTCCTCGTGCCCGGGGAGAAACGAAGAGCTGCTGGCTACAAAGACGTTGGTAAACGCCCTGCAGAGGCGGAGGTGTGTAGGGTTTTATGCTGTGTCGTGCGGAATGGATCGGAGATGCTCGATCCCCGATGACGAGTTTGCTCCGTGTCTGTGTGAACATAAACATTGGTGTTTTTTCACACCCACCCGATATTGTAGAGCCGTATAGTACTAGACCAACCGATTATTTAAGAGATCTTTCATCGGATGCATAACACGTAAGAGCTTAGCTGCAAAGCAACCGGGATAACTTGGGGTGGTAGACTAGCAACGTTAAATCCCCTGCGCAAGCCAGGTGAGCGCATTGCTGCTGTTTTCCCTCGGAGCTCTATTTCTCGACAGTACTTTGTTTTTTTTTCGTGTGTACGACGTGGTTTTTATCGTTGCCCTCTGTTGTGTCGTGCACAACTCGTACGGTAGTTCTACATAGCTGAGAAGACAGCATGCGCTTACCTGACCACGGATCGAGTGCTCTCCAACTCTCCAAGGCTCTTAAGGGCTTCCTTTCTGTGGAGGCTGTGTGACGCCATGCCGCCATCTTATTTTCTCTTCCCTTTCTCTCTGCTGTACGATGCGTGTGAATGAGCAGGGTGATTTTAAGATACGGGCGGGCGAAGGCATGCCGGCGGTAACGGTGCACAAGAGCATATTGGCGGCGCGCTCAGGGTTCTTCCGAGCACTGCTGGAGGGACGCATGGCCGATGCCGGCCAGGACGAGCTGACACTCAAGGTAACTGAATGCTGCTGTATCATCCATGTTTTACATCACGAAACAGAGCTCTCTTCGAACACTTGCACATCATCTGGGACAACTTCCCGTGTCTCTTGTACCTAACCAAGGTTTTTTGTTGCCCTGTAATCGTATTCTGTGTACGCGGTTCTCGTTCCGCTGTCCTCCCATCGTCTTGCATCTGATACACCACCTTGCTGCTTTTCTGTTCTGCATTCTTCATTTCTGTCGTGTTGTGTTGTCTTCCTACCGTCTGGACCGGCGGCTTATTGGTTCAGTTCGAACCTGTTGTGACCATCTGCGCTCTTCTGGAGTTCATCCGTTTTCTGTACACCGGCCGCTCGGGGAATGACATTGAGCCGTTGATAGCTCTCGAGGTTCTCTTTCTCACAAAGGGCGACGAGGGCTCCGGTGGTAAGACTAAGACTAACTAACACTAAGACTATGCCTAGCACTAAGACTAAGACATCCCGTTTAACTGTTAACGTTACCGTGTCTGCTGTGTTACGCCACGACTTAATCATCGAAGGAGCAGTGCGTCTTGTCCAGATTAATGTTATCTTTTGGCAGCAACAGCATCGAATTGGCGCCAGCACAGGGAAAGGAAGGGTGGATCAGCCAGTACAATGAAATGGAGGCACCGTCTTAGTTTATGGTATTATAGTTTGTCTGTCCCTTGGTGTCCTGATCGATGTTGATGTCGAATTAGAAGTAAATATGAAGAGAGAGAGAGAGAGAGAGAGAGAGAGAGAGAGAGAGAGAGAGAGAGAGAGAGAAAAGATGCCCGCAGTTTTCTGATTGGTCCGTTAACATTGAGGCGAGGCTTGCCAGAGCGGAGTCGATAGAGTCGTTTCGTGCACGGGCAATGGCAAGCGCCCCCCCCCTCTCTCTCTGCACTCGGACTCGAGACTTTGCTGAGCTAGCGCTGTAAGCATCGTTCACGGTTGCTTCCCGTGCATTCCAAACAAAACAGAGTGGCGCGATCTCTGTCTCCCACGTCTCCTTCATACAGTATGTTGATGTTCTGATGCCATGTATTCTTGCCGGCCCTAATATGGCCCAAATGCACAATGGATGTCGGTTGCTGTTGGATGTTGTCTGTTGAGAAGGATTCTTTCAGGTGGCCGGGACCGACGAGCTGAGACGTTTCTGTACGTTGAGGATTTTCGACGGGATGGACAGCGACAACGCGCTCTCTATACTGGTGAGACTCGCACCGCGTCCCACGGCGTTGTTGGCGATCGTGCATTGCTACTGTCACCGGTGTTGCCATTTTATGAAGGCTAGACGTTGTCCGGTGAAGTGCTGTGTGCTTGGTTTTCGTGGGTACATAGACCATTACGGCAGCAAGAGCTTTGATGGACGCACGCTTTGTAGTTGGGGGCGGTGTGCAGGGGTTGACGATTGGATTGGGGATGGCTTGTGAACACGGCAGTTGGCGAAACTCTCGATACAGCTCTCCGCGTGGTTAGCGGATTCAATCTTCGTCTTGTCTCGAGAGGCCCCGGTAAGTTTTGTTGGTTGATTACATCATGTCGATCGACTGGGTACCCCAGAGCTGCCTCCGCCCCCTGCCGGGTTGTTTCTATTAATACTGCACGATGGTTGAACCGACTATTCAACAATGCCACTCTTGGTTTTGTGTGTGTGCCTTACCCTGGCCCATGGGCAATCAACCAATCAAGACGTGGAACAAAAGCAGGCAGTTCCGCTTCCTGGCGAGACAGAGGTTGTTGCGTTACGCCAGCGTGAGAACTTGACCTTGTTCTCGTGTCTGCACTGTTGCCAGGTTCGCGCTAAGGCCTTCGGCGACGAACGAGTGTTGGAAGCTGCGATCGACTACATCCTGGGACACTTTGACAGCTGCATGTCGTCCCTCAAACCGCCGGACGGCTTTGGAGGTGAAGCTGAAGATGGGGGTGGTACGCTGGAGGAGGATCCGATGACAACGCTGATACCAGCCTGCTTGGAGGACGACGAATCTCCCGCCGTCGATCTTCTCCTTGCCTTGGCTAAGAGGTGTGGATGCATACCACTAGTTTTGCGTCAACCATTGTATGTACCTTCAGTTGCACTTTGAACTATTTTTTCAGGCGTTTTTTTTATTTCATGTTGGATGCAAAGACCGGCACACTTTCCTTTGCATTCCGTTCCATTTAGTGGTGCACACCCACGGCATGGAATACGAGGTCCCTTCCAAACGAGAAAGACAAAGAGAAAGAGGGAAGGCTGCCGTGGGGAGACCCTCAGATCCTTTTTTTTGCGGAATGATTTTGGGGTTTTCTCCGCCCCCCCCCCATCGGGATAATTGGGGATAGATGGTGGGCACAAGAGGCCCTAGAGGACGGGGATAAGATGTGCAAGAAATTTTTATGGAGTTTGTGGCAGAAACGTAAAGAGTTCCCAAATGTTGGTGGTGTTTTTAGTAGGTGTAGGAACGGTGGTTTCGAAAGGGAGGGGTGGTCAATGGTCAAATGATTACGGCAAGCAACAAATGAGTACGCCCCCCCCCCCACCTAAACACGTTCGTGTTGTCGTCGGTAAATGTATACATCCAGGTCCGGGTTCTCGCCTGTTGTACACCTTTCACGCCCAACACGCGTGCGCGTTATTTCACGGCCCCTATTGCTCTCTCCCCACCCCCGTCCCCATGGCAACATTTTCCAGGTGCACGGTTCAGATCAAGCCTGGGACGTAGCTCAGCCGCCCGGGTTTTTGACTTGAGTGTGCCCGGCGGGGAAGCGCAAGCGCGCTGTACAAGTATGCGATGCTTTTTTTTGTGTTTGATAAACGTGTGTAAGTACGGGGTGCTGATGTTGATGTTGGTGATGGTATGTGCAAAGTGCCATGAAATGTGTATGCTGGCTGCTTAATTGCACCCATCTTGTGGTTGTACCGTATGATCATGTACTCTATATCTGCCTTGGTTTGTTGAAGGAAAGTGAGTGATGTGTGGGTCTGCCTCCTCTTCGTGCCTTCGGACACTCGCGAATCGAATCGCCGAAGTCTGTCATAGAGGTATTTTTCCTATTAATCATATGAGCATGAGTCAGATTTGGGGTGCGCTGCTGCACTGCCTCTGTCTCGACTCGAGGAGCGTTGAGCTTTTCCTGGGTATACACTACACCTTGCTGGTGATGGTATTGGTGATGGTGATGGTGGTATGCATGGTAGTGGTGGTGGTGGTGGTGGGAGTGGTGGTCGCCCCGGTGGTGTGGTATGATAGTTGTTCACCTCGTGAACATTCTGGTATGGTAGCAGGTTAGAGTTCGATTCTCTCTCTGGAGTGAAAGAATAATTTGCAAGTTTCGGTGGAAAGCGATAAGTTCGTGATGCTTATAGCATTGCATTCACACTTCGACCTCAGGATCGAGACGAGGGTAAGGGGCAGCTGAATCAATCTCAATCTCTCTCGCGATATAGTCAAGGGCATGCAAGGCAGGAGGAAAGGCGGGGAGTTGACGTAAAATACATGGAACAAGGTGCCCGCAGTTTTGTGATTGGTTAAATCCCTGGTCGACTGGTGGTGACGTCATCGAGGTGGTGTCACTTTGTTCTGAAGTAAAAACAGAAAATAACTCCTGTATGTCATTCCTCCTGTGTGACCCCGGCTGATGTGCGTATGTCAAGCATAGACCACCGACATGTGTGTAGAATGGCGTCAGAATAGATGGGATATACACACGTGAACACTAAAACATTTTTCAACGGCACTCCAATGCACCGTTACCACTAGATACCTCGTCTACGTTGTAGGAACATAACATGAATTCTTGGTGAGTCTCGTGGGTGCCAAAGTACACAGCAAGCAGGCATAGCAAGCAGGCAAGGCAACACTAGTACTTGTATACTCGAGACTACCGTAGGGTACAGGTGTCGCTCAACCCGCCGTCAATCTTGATTCACCCTAAGCAGCCCTATCGCATGAAGACACACACGTGGACACCCACCACGAATGCCGAATGCATTTTCTCTTCCGCACCACACCAAGTACCATGGCTTGAGCGACGACTTAACGGGAGCAATACGACATGTTCTTGCTAGGTTCCGCGATGCAAAGCCCACACAGTATCACCAACCAAGCCTCGGCTTGTGCCAGGCAGGAGCTTCAACGCTTTAAGGAAAAACGAACACGCACGTATCTGTCCCTCCGCGCTAAAAAATGGTGTGAAGGGCATACCATTCTCCGGCGAAGAAAAACAACACCGATCTCTAGTCCTGAACCATACACGACCTTATACCTAGCTCGAGGTCCCTCGAGGACAGCAACCGCCCGATGAACACCACCTTGCACCGTCGTGCCTCTCCTTCTTGCCAAGCACTGCCGACCACCTCTGCCGGCGTCACCTCAAACAGGTCAGCCACACCCTGGACGACGAAGCGCTCGTCTCTACCCTCCACGCTCACCACGCCCTTGACACGATACACCTCCGTCCCTCCTGGGGGTGGGTCCCACAGCAAGCCCCCAAGCCACCGTTCCAGACGCGAGAGGTCCAACGAACCTGGCAAGTCTACTGCGCAGGTGGTCACGGAAGGGTCATGCACTGAACAAGCCGTGCCGCCGGGCCCTTCCGCCGCGGCGCACTCATCGCATGCCTCTCCGTCGGCATGGTGGTGAACGCTCTCCGTGTGCCCCCCGCTCGGCTCAACGTCGTGCGAATGAACGTGTGCATCCCCGGGACCAGACCCCGTTCGAGCGATTCCTCGATCCGCTGCACTGCTGCCTCTGCCGCCTTCGTTCTGTTGGGCTGTGCCTAGCAAAGCCCGAGGCGGTGCGAGAGAAGGGTCTAGCGCTGCCGCTAGCTCCGAGGAGAAGCATTCGGTGTCCAGAATCCACGCTAGGTCCACCGCGGAGCGCTTGGTGCAACGAACTTCGGCCAGAGCGTTGATTGTTCGCACTCGTCCAACCACATCATCGAGGGTTTCGGTAGACACGAGGTCACTCTTCGACAACGGAGACGTCGCCCGAGCGAGAGAGACAACACGAGACGCAAAGCGGCAGCATGGGCGGGGAGGGTTGAGAGAGGACACAAACGCAACAGCGAACTCCATGTATGCCGCTGCTGTCACTGCTGTAAATTTAATACAGTTGTTCTCTCGGGTTGAACGCTGCAACATTCACGCAGCTGGTTTGGGGTGCTTCGCTCGCGCCTGCACGCCAAACCCTCCTTTTGGTGCGCCGTCCTTTAAATACGACCAAGAGCTCAACACACCTTGTTGATGAGGACGCGGTCAGCGTAGGCCACTTGCATGGCAGCCTCATTCTTGGGGCGTTTCCCGGACTGCTCCTCTCCCTCCGCGCCGGCCTCGGCCCCCTCACCCGGAACGCGCTGCAGCTGTCGCACGAAATTCTTGGCGTCGACCAAGGTGACTATGCTGTCGAGCCGCAGAGCGCTTTCCAAGGCCTCGTCAAGCCAGAAAACACTCGCTACAGGACCCTGGAAAACGGGTAAGAGCGACGGGCAGCACAAAAAAATGGACGTCATTGTAAGCTTCCGGACATGTCACAAAAAAAACTGGTTCGACTACTGCACCTGAATGGTCTTCGTTTGTGCTTTGAACGGCATCGACAGCCTACATGTACACACAAACGCACGGTGCGTGATTCTACTCAGCAAGTTGGTACGCGGTTGAAAACGAAAACGGATGTTCTTTTCGAGATTACCCTCTAGACAGTGCAGGGTGTGGTGAGGCTGGAGACTACTAGCTGCGCTTGCGTTACGGTGTACCCACACACCTACTCGCGGAAGAGGCGAATCGCACACTCACCGGGTTGGCGAGGCCTGTAGTCTCGATGATCACGTAGTCGAACTTGTTCCTTCGTTGAAGCAACATCTCCAGGGTGGTGACGAGGTCGTCCTTGACCGCGCAGCAAATGCAACCGTTCCTGAGCTCGAAAAGGTTGTCCGCCAAGACCGATCCGTCGGCGCCATCCTGTTATAGCAACGGCAACAGCACGCCATTCTGTGTTGTAGATAGTCATGGCTTACAACCAAATACACGTGAGAAGCGGATTTTTTACGGAAGTAACAGCAGTGAGGAGCAGACTGCGGCTCGTGTCAATACGACTGTGGAGATCCCCTCATAAAGGATACAAACAACCTTCGCGACGTCTGATCTGTCCAGGACGATTCCGTCTTTTCTCTTTTCACATTGGCGTCGACGATGACACAATGGCGACAGCGTGAGTGCAACAGGAGTGGCAAGTACAGCGGCACCGCCAACAACGGTGACGGCGCGATGACACCGACACTGGCAATCTTGCACAGGTTGTCCAGCGCCACCAAGCGGATGCCTCCAGCTCACAGAGCACCACGTTGCTTCTAGATCGTTGCGATCCTCTGGAAGCGGGGGTAGATGCTCGGGTCCAGAAAGCTGCGGCAGGGGAGGATCCTCCGGCGTGGATCCTGAAGGCGATAGGCGATATTGTACGCCCCCGCCACGAGCTTTGCCACACTCATGATCCAGCCATTCGTACCATGCCCTTGATTGCCCCTCGTGGCCTGCCGCGGTCGCGCCACGCTCCCCAGCGGCCACATATGTGAGTCCATAGCGCATGAATTTACCATATCCTTACATCCTGACCTCCACACAACCGCCAAATGATGTTTCATGTTGAGAAAGTGCTCCCTGCACGGATGATAGGGCCGTGTTCTGTCAAACGAATGCCTCAAAACCTAAAAAAAAAAAATGGAGTATGTAGGATGACCTACCGCAAGGTCACAGCAGTGCCTGACTACAGCAGTCCGTACAGAGGCCTATGGCGGTGCTGCTAAATATCTCAACGCCCATGTAAACGACTACTACTTAAACTTCTGTACATGGTGCCATCACTGACAGTTGTTACTGCCATGTCGGACAACAGCCAGGGACTTGTGTTGTTTGTTTCTCCTCTCACCTTCGCGATAAGAGACTCGATGTCCATGCTGTCTCCAACCTCGTTCTCAATCACCGCGATGCGCCGACCATGGTCCTGGGTGAGTATATAATTGAGCAGGGTCGTCTTTCCTGCTCCCAGGAAGCCTGTGACGATGGTTACCGGCACAGCTCCTGGTGCTGTTGGTGGCCTCTCTACCTCTACCACAACCTCTGCAACGTCTGAGCTTGTGTCCTCTGGCAGCGTATCATTTGAGCTCAGCGCCAACAACCCCTGCGCGGGCACCAGGTCAGGAGGGCAGTCGTCGTCACTTTCCATTTGCTTTCTCTGTCTCTCTGTCTCTGCCTGCTGCTGCAAACACAGGTGTGTTAGTGTGTGGTGTTGCTGCTGCTGGCTGTTGCTGTTGCAAGCTGTTGCCGGGTTCGCAGATTGTAGAAGATGGGTATGGCCAAGAATTCACGGTGCACCGTCTGCCAAATAAAAAATTCGAGCAGCTGAACAGCAGCTGGCTAGCACACCCACTGCACGGCAACCTCACCCACCAAACACCCCCGACACCCCCCACCAGTACAAGCTTCTGGCCCTTGACCTTATCACCATGTTGTCCATGAACGCCCTCGTTGCGTCCGGCCTCTTGGCCGCATTTGTTGGGCAAACAGCAAATGCATTCGTCAGTCCGAGCATGCTGCACGGAGGAGTTACACCGCGCCCGGCTTCTTCTTCTTCCCACCTGTAAGCCAAGCCAAGCTTGATGCGCTCGAAACACCAGCATTGTTTTTGTCCTTGTTCTCGACTTCATCGTCTGGAGTAGGCTTTGCGATGAAGCTGAAACGTGCGATTGGAGGTGGCGGTGCTCTAATATCTTGAAAAGCACATTATGATCGATCATAACGACATCCAGAAACATGACACAGCGGGCGTGACACAGACAAAGGGCGTGACACAGACAGGGAGATACGTGCGAGACGGCTCCTTCTGCCACCCGACCCGCGCGACGTATTATAATTTGACATGCACTCTCTAATTGTTAATCGTCCATGGATATTTCGCAGAGACACGTTGAATGCAAAGACCCACGGTATGTGCACGTAAAAATTGACTTTGATCTTTGATCCCTCTCAACACGGTTATGTCTTTTGGCTTCGGATCTTACGTACAGCAATTATGCAACACACAAAATAGACGCTGCTGTAAAACCATCGCTCTCGACCACGGAAGATCAGCTGTGTTGCGATATAGTCTACACACGTTTGACACGATGAGAGCAGCGACGAACGAAAGGCCTCAATAAGGCGAAATCCCCCCCCGTTCAATGCTGAAGCCGTGAACCAAGCGTCGGTAATCAGCCAAGAATTCCCGCACTCCCAAATTGCCTCAACTTCATTTCAGTAGCTCGTAGTGGCGTGTGTCTTGTCACGAAAATAGAGCGGGTGGCGCGTGGCGAATCGTGCAATAGAGCGGGTCGATCCCTGTTTGACCCGCTTGTGCTCGCAGGTTTGCTTTTTGCGTGTGGTCTGCACCTGTTATTTGCTTTTAAAGCATATGTTGAAGTCGAATGAAAAAAGAAGATTATTATAGTGATACTGCTGCTGTTGTTGGAATTTGCCAACCTGAATATCGTGGTACTACTGCACGTACTCGCGGTATGTAATGTACGAACCGTTCTTTCTAAGAAATGCATGTTTTTTTACGGTGCCAGCAACCTGGGGCTCACGCAAAGTACTCACAAAATTATCCTTACTTGAAAAGACTTGCATCGAACACATGCCTTGGAACGGATTGTGGTCTCGAGCGGGTAGTCTCTCTTTGGCTCTTTGGATGTTGCGTATTTTTTCTAAAGAGATGTAACACCTTGTTTATTGCGTACAGTACATGCATGGAAGTGGATGTATAGTCCTTGATCCTGGAGCACTCCTTGTTCCCGACTTGAAGACGTAGGCACTGCTCAGTTGAGATTGAACTCTGCAGTACCACTTGCATTTCGACATGTGGGTGTCGATCAGAGAATGAGCTACGTGGTCCGGGTGCTGCCACGCAGCAGTAGTCCGTTTGTCCCTAGTATTTTTCTTATCCACCTCAATGAACGGTCTGTTATCCAGAGGGGAATCGAGCCATTTCATTCGCTACTCAGGTAATAGAGAGACAGAGAGGCAAAGTACATGGCAGCAGTCCAAGAATGTTGCAAATGAACGTACGCTAGTTCAACGGGCCGAGGGAGTAGTGATGGTATGAGAGCAAGCCAGACACAGGCTGACAAGAGAGGGGAAAGGAAAGGAAAGAGGTTAGACATAACGTCGAGAAATTTCTCAGTTGACATCGCGGGGCTATGTTAGTAGCCGATGCTTGGAATCTGGCCTTTTCCCCACCACACAATGAAGCTTGATGGGGTCGCCATCCATTGATGCCTCACCATAGTCTTCCTTCCACCATGGCTTTCGTTTGCTCGCAGGCACTCGGTGAGGGCGGTCGGTGTGGGTGCCCTCCGCATGGCTGATGGAGACGGGGACGCCATGAGTGCCGCCGAGGAAACGGCGAAGCGATTGAAAGAACAGGCCGCCGCTCTCCGTGAATGTGAGTTCTTCTTCTGCTTGATTCACGCCTGGAGTCTGTCGCGTTTCGTGCCGTAGCGTTTCGCGCTGTAATGTGCGTACTTTTGTACTGCACATATATTGCACTGCAGCAAGTTTATTCACAACGCCTTGGGCAAATGTAGTCCCTGGTTTGCATCGTGGCTGAGCATGGAGGTTCTTTCTTCAGGTGATCGTGCACGGGGTAGAGATTTGCGCTGCAGAACCATGAAATCTTGTGCAGTAGGCATTCGTTCAACGTCACATCTACAGGTGACAACCCTGCGGAACTGTCGCGTTAGTGCTCGCACCACCTCACATGCCCTGGCCCGTTGTCACCCTCCGCCTGCACATCCACACTACTCAACATTCGTCTCTTTAGCCTTCCGCCCTTTCCTCATCTCCTCTCCTCTCCTCTCTCCCTCTCTCTCTCTCTCTCTCTCTCTCTCTCTCTCTCTCTTGCTCCTCGTTTATCTCTGTTTTTCTTGTGTTGTGCAGCGGCAGCCGAAAGCGAGGCGGAGATCCGGCCAGCATCGGACAAGGCGGACGAGGTCACCGAAACGCCCGTCCCCGCAGTTCGGCCTGAGGACATGCCTCCCAAGCAGAAGATTTCTAACGACATGCAGAAGCGCCTGAGGCAAGAACTTATTTCTCAAGGCGCAGATCCCAACAGGAGCGCGGGAAATCCAATCCTGGTCGTTGCGGGCATCATTGTGAGTTCGAAAGAGAATGGGTTTGAAATAGTGTAGGCTTCGTCGACATGTCCCTCCTACGCCCTCCTTTTTTTTGTTTTCCGTCGTCCTTCTCGTCATATGGCATTGTGAATCACAGCCGAAATTGTTATTTCATTTGTGGTTCGGTGGACCGGCTAATACAAAGACCTTTTTGTTTTGTGTAGATTACTCTATTGACTGTGTGCTGCTCCTGCTGGCTGTGCGGAGAAGGTGAGCAAAACCAAACGGTCGTTTCTGTTGCTGCTTTCCTCCGCGCCTTCCGGACGTTTTGTTTGCACGTTTTGCACAGGCTGTGCTGGTCATCGTCGGTGGGCAGGGAATCTTCTACTGAGCCAACGTCGTTGCACCACGCCGTGAGAAACATGAATCAATGAGAACTTGAGGCAATAAGAACCATGGCGGGCAGCAACCACGACCGACTCCAGGAACGGACGCAGCTGGTGCTGGTGCTGGTGCTGGCGGAGCTAGACTCCTTGCAGCAGCGATGGTTGGTTACGCTGTGTGCTCGGAAGTATGGCTGGGTCAGTGGCGACAGGCCTTAAGAATGTTGTTGATTGTCTTGCCTCCACGTTATGTTTGAATTGGTCGAATGATTTGCCAGTGATACGAGGGAGCGTTGGCGTTGAGCGTTCTGATATTGAAGGTCTGCAGTAGAGCTCGACCCTCTTTCCTGGTTCTTGGAAGGTGACTTGGAAGGTAGGTGTCTTTGAATGAAGGTGTCAAGCGGACGCTACCAGATCGCTGTACTATTGTAGCCCTGTTGCGGCTGAAACACGCACCTTGCATTTAGTATGACTTGATATCGCCACCGGAAGTTCCTCGAAACTGGATTGTGATCAACTAGACGTTTACGTAGAAGTCAGTTTTCTTTTTGTGTACATGGCAGTTTTCGAATTGTCTTGTGTTGTTGTTGCGGCACAAACCCAAGCCTGCACGTCCTGATAAAACCGTGGGTACTTTTGCAGCCTTGAGGGCGTATCTCGCTATAGAGAAGACACTTAGAGATGCACAGTGTTTGGACGGGCTCGGCAGCAGAAGCATGACATTCTATTCGTGCTTGATTGTCCCCTGCGGGCTGTTGGGAAAGAGGAGCACGGTCGGTTATTGTTTAGAGAAGCAGGTGCGGCAAACTTCGCGCCGCGTTGTTCAGGGGGAGTTGGTAGCGATCAATCATGCTCTCAGCCCGACCAGGGATACGATATCGATTTTTTTATATTTTTGTGTCCTTGCTAGAATACTGGTGTAGGACCGCGTAGTAAGTTCCACCCGCGAGATTCGTCTATTGCTACGGTGTGGGAGTGGTTTGTTTCGCGCTGGCGCGATCGTGCCGGACATTAAACCCTTCAGAATGACGAGTCTTTTTTTATTTTGCGCGACATGCATCAACCGATGCTCTCCGCAATCAGTCCTCCTGCAGTTGTCAGAATTTAATCAAGAGCCACCGGAGTTGATTGCTCTTCCATGTTGGCAACCGAATGCGGTTGCCTTGTTTGCAATCGGGCTAAGAAAAAGCCTACCACAAGCTCAAAAAATAAAACGTGGGTTGCCCAAGGATCCGGAGGCATCGAAAGAGCGACATACTGATGCAAACATGTACACCAAAAGACACCCTTGGAGGAATGAATGGATCCTTCCTGACACACGGTCTGGTCAGTGACGCTGCGTTCGTCCGTCGTTGTTACATGTGTGCTCGGCATTACAGATAATACTAGTATATATAGAAGTATATCGTCCTCGTCGCAACACCACCGCCACGAGCAACGACCGACTATTCTCATACACCGCCGTTACAAGTTCAGCCGATCACTGCCGAACGTGCGTTCACATCGATCACCACGCGCCCCCTTCCAAAAACGGCACCGTGATCGGCTTCTCCTATTATGGTATTGTAGTACGTCTGTCTCACCATACGCCCCTACACATTAAGAACGTATGCACATAATGTTTCAAGGGTAATCTAACCAAAAACTATCATCAATCCTTGCTTTACTTTACCTATAGGGCAGATAGCGATCAGTCCCCATGAAACACTTCCACAAAGACTCGGCAGAGGCAGGAACGCGCTGCAACTGACCAACAAACAGTTCCGCCGTCATTCCTGCAGAAGTGGTGTGTTGGCCCGATACACCAGTAGGGGGGCAGCAGAACAAACAAAACGAAACGTGGCATACATAATCCCACTGCGATTTGGCCTGGCGCCCACAAAAACGGAAGAAGACAGGGACTCAAGAAAAAATAGAAATAGAAAAAAACCGCCGCAGCATAATGCTACGCTCACGTTCATCCTCATCGCGTAGTGCGGCGAAACTCATGAGATAGATTTAGATCAGCATGCTGCCTGCTGCTGCACTACCGTACAGAGTACATGATGGACACAACTACCGTGAGGTTAGATTAGCCGTGAGAGACCAGACGAATGACGGCAACTGAGCCAAGCCAAGCCAAGCCAAGCCAAATCAACTCGACTTTCAATCCAACCTCCAACCTCAGTGAGCCACCGCCAACAATGTGCACCACTCGATCGATCAATCGACTTGCTTGAAAAATCTTACCATAGTACATGTTTATTTTTTTCTTTCCTTCAGAACACTGTTCGTGGCAATCCCTAATTCAGGGTTCTTCAAAAATTCCAGTCTCAGGAAATGTGACAAGAGGGGATCGTTCTCGACAGACAGGCACACAGGGGAGACGTGACCCTTTTACAGATCACCTCCAAAAATAGGGGAGAAAAATAAATTGTACACGAGACCCTGCCCCCCCAATCAAAAGGCAGCTCCGGGGAATGTTTTTTGTTCTGTCCTCAGCGAAAACGACATGGACATGACTGGGGCTTCCTACCACGTCCTGTAAACTCTTGCTCCTTCGCGAGAAGGACGGTAACATGTACACCAACAAACCAACGACAACAATAGAATACACGGCGAGATGGCCATTCGCCAGCTACATTGGCCTACACTAGTTGCACCAACTGAGACACGACTGCGGAAAATACCACGGGAGCCCACAGGCCGGAAGCGCAGTGCTCTTCACGCGGTTCGATTCCGTAAAAAAAATCCGGTCACAGGGTAAGCTGGGTGGTCTGCTGGCTCTTGAGACGACCCAGGATTTTTTCTGCCGACTGATACCTGCTCGTTTCGAACAAAGAGCACGTGGAGATGTGGCGTGTTTGGTGGACGAATAGAGACCGTCTGCGGAACTTTCCGTTTCTTCTACCTCTAAGTCCCACCACGACAGCGCCACGCCATGACTTACTGTCAGACGAAACAACGCCAGTCCATGCAATCTATCGATAGGCTTGGGTGACCACACCCGAAATTAGAACCCCATTTTGTGTTGGTGATAATACATAGTGTGATTCAAGCACAGCGCACGTCAACATGACACGCCAACGTCCGCTGCTGCTATATGCCGGGGGAAATATCTCGACATACATCACCACGCCAGGGCAGGGCCAAGCAAGACACTCGTTGCCTGGCCTCATACAAGTATCTCATATCTGATATCTGATGCATGTATCTCACCAGAAGGACCCGACGAGGAAATGAAATCGTTGCCAGATGTTGAGACTTCTCAGGGGCGCGATAGCGTGCATGTGTAGGTGCGGCACCAGTGTCCATGGCGCCATGTGGAACCCTAGAGACGCCTGGGCAGTCTGCGGTTCAGTGATGGTCGATGCAGAAGGCATGGACACCCAGGCAACGTCAAACTTCACAAGCCGCAACCACTGAGCGACTTGGGACAGGCGTATGCATATATTTTGCCCCGAGGAACGCCGGCAAACTGGTTCGATCGATGCACCTACAAGCGAATTTCTTCACCACGACGAGACAGGCAACCAGCCCACCTACATGTACAACATGTGCTTACACCGCGATCTTCCATGGGTCGTGTAGTGTAAAGTGTGGTGTGAACGTACCCTGTACAATTACGACTGACGGCTGTTTGTCCCCCACCAACCATTTCAAGAATCAATTCGACGGCAGCTCAAGGGTACATGCATGCCTACATGCCTTAGACCAGTACCGTAGGTCAGGTGAGGTGACACACAGCGCCGCGCCGCCTCCTACCGCGCTGCATCTCTTTCTATCTATCTATCTATCTATCGATCTATCTGTCTATCTGTTTGTGTTTACCCCGTCAGATTACTGCTTTAGACAGCGAATCATACTTCGCTCATCACAGCAATAGCCCCAATTATTGGTGTGGTGGCGCGTGGCCCTCATCTCTGATAACGCTCTTCACGGCATTGTTTCTATTGTTGGTGTGGCACACTAAAACTATACTAAGGTGCCCTGATTCTCCCACCCGGAGGACAGATGGCTGTTTTGATCATGCCAAGATGTGAGGGTGTTGTTGTTGTTGTTTGTTGTCTTCACATTAAAAACCGTTCTGTTCTCTCTACCCAGGATGGCGGAGTGAGAAAGAGAGTTGGTATTTACTACTGTACTGTACTGTACTGTATGGTAGTGGACTGTACCGCACCGTGTGAGAAACGCTCACGAAAAGACAAAAAGACCGCCAACTCGTAAAGCGATTGTACTGTTAAATCGCATATCTACAATCTACTGAAGAACGCCGAGCGGCGCAAGTTACAGCAGGACGGGTAGAACACGAGTGTCGCAGCAGCCGCTGTGTCGGTGGTCCATCCTCAACACATCATCATATCCAACGCATTATTTCATTCACCTGCTGGTTCGGCGTGAGCCCAGCTCTCTCTTTCAAGAGCTGCTTGCCGACCGCCACCCTGACCGAAAAAATCACGCAACACGCAACATGCGACAGAGGAGCGGGACGGAGTCAGCTATGCATATAATAGCTTGTTTCGGTTCCCATACGATTGAAAGCGGCCAAAAAGCCGCAAGCGTTTTGTGCGTGTGTTCATTATTTCTGGAAAATCGGTACTTTTATCACATTTTTGGTATGTTTTCTGTACTCATCAGCCGGGGTGGGTCACACGGGAGCCAGATATTTATCTAATAGCTCTTGCTTTGTTTTGTTTTGTCTGTCCGCCTTCCTTCCCCTAGTCTACCATGAAGTCGAATGTTTAGACATTGCATTGTCTGGGGCACAACGTGATAAATGGCGACCACAAAGGAGCTGACGTACAGCAGTAGCAGTTGCGAATGAGAGACGAAAGACGAAAGGCGAAAGAAGAGCACGCGACTATGATTTCGATTTCACCCTTCACTTTCACTCACCACATACAATATTGTAGGTGGCGTGAGGGCGAAAATTGAGTTGCAAAGCACACAATGACACGGGGATTTTGACATCGTCGGTAAACGTCGGTCGTGTTGGAGGTAGGTCGAACATCCCCCTTATCGCAGAATTGCGTACTCTCGATGTAGAGAGGGTTCGTCTTGCGGACGAAAAACCATGCGTTTACTGTTCGTCGCCTACGCGCTAATTCGTTCCGTCTGTGCAGTTGACTCCTGGTGTATCGTTGCGAAGGCGGCATACCTGAAGGTACGCGTGATGACAGCAGCAGGTTTATGTTGTTGGTTTGTCTATCTGGATGAGGTAGTCGGTGGCATACCTAAAGGTGCTTTCATCACGCGTACCTTCAGGTATGACGCCTTCGCAACGATACACCAGGAGTCAAATGGACAGACGGAACGATTAAGCGCGTAGACGACGAACAGTAAAGGATGGTTTTTCGTCCGCAAGACGAACCCTCTCTACATCGAGAGTACACAATTCTGCGCTAAGGAGGATGTTCGCTGTATTGCACTGACTGCTGTTTGTTAACTGCATGCTCGCACCATCACCCAGACAGTTCTCCGACATGCACGCGCAATCAATCATGACTAGAGAGAGCGCGTGACAAACTCGGTGTCGACCGATCTGCATCCTTTCACTGTCAACGATTTCTAGACCTTCCTTTGGCGTCACTTTTGTCTCGCCAACGCGAATCCAAAAGCAGGTTGTCTTTGCAGCAAAGGTCATTCTTTCGTCGGGGCTAGATGGCCTAGACTACTCTATTGACTAATCCATCAATGCTGCTACTATACCGTGGAAGGAAAGCAGGACTTCAATTCTTGACGTACCGGAATCGTACGATTCATGGTACCACGAAACAGCCATGCGGTACTGCAAAAAAAATGTACAAGCTCACATGTGCTCCAAAAGGTCGACGTGTTGAACGTTCAGGTGGCTCGGGTCGCGGACGGCCCCGCTTTTTGGCACGATCAAGAGATGGCATGGGGCAACCGGGTGCGCGTCCTTGAAAGCCATAACCGTGTCATCCTCGTAGACGATGTCCGCTGGCTCTTCTTTCCGGACGATCCGCGCAAAAACGTTCTGCTCGACCACGGCGATTGATGGCGTTTCATGACAGATGACATTTCGGCGGCAAACGAACAGGAACAAGAACAAACCGAGCAGAAAGACGATGGAGGAGAGAAGGGTTGAGGAAGGGCCGTACTTCCCTGGTGATTTGAGCGGTGATTCCGAAGTCCAAAAGTACAAGCAAGGCTTACCCCGGGGGGAGTGGGCCCAAACCCTCATCAAGGATAGGAACCAGAACACTATTTAATACAATGCATGTCATGCGTTTGTGCAAAGGACCTGGGAGATGACGCCAAAAATCGAGGAGCGCGTTTTGGTGCCTGCGAGCAGGACCCGCCGGCAGCAGAGACCGGCAGACTGGCAGACTACAGACTACAGACGACCGACGACCGATAGGCCCGTGTGTCTACCAGTCACCCGGTGTTGTGTGATGTATTGCAGGTGTGGTACAGCACATCGGTGGCCTTCCCTCTGTTGCGAAATTCTGGTGCTTGCTAGACTGTATCTATTTTTTTCCAACGGCTATTCAACCTGAAAAAAGAAAGATGAAATGACTGAAAAAAAAGACTGCAGTGCGTCAGACTCCACCGTTGGCTCCACTCTCAGCTCTGCATATAGTCATGCATACACGTCATTTTATTCTGAATAGTACAGCTAATACAGAACAACGGCAACCACACTGCGGGGGAAGGGAAATATGGAAGTGTGGTCCCTGATGAGAACGCAGCAGCTGCTATGGCTTAGTCCATCCTGTTAGTTAAACATTCGTTGTACGTATATCGATTTTGGCATTCGGCTGTCTTCTTGGGGAGGGTTATTTCAATCTTTCAACCGTTCGGTGGTGGGATCTCTTTTGTCATGTCCTATATATCATGGAATAGTTCTCTCTTGAAGTGATGAGAGAGAGTCTGACGTGACGTGCCTGGTTTTCTCGGTGTTCCTCCTTTTCGTGCATTCTTTCGTGTGCTGTCTTTTACTGCGCACGCAACATCGACACGACCGCCAATACTCTACAACAGAACTTGGTGTCCGCATCGTTTTACTAAAAAATAGTTCCTTCAATCCTAGAGTGTAGCGCACTTCATCACACAGGTGACGTAAGATACCACCCCCCCTACACACAACTACTTGCACTTGTAAAAACTAGAATCATGCTGCAGCATACATATCACACGGGGGTGTGGTATCTAAATAATGTCACCTGGTGCCGTATGCCACGAGAGGATCAATAGAAACACTATGCATCCGTCGCGAACTTATCCTGGGCTTGCAGTAGTCTACAGCAATCCTACAGCAGCTTACCATCTTCCATCTTCCATCATATGCATACATAGGACAGCTGAATGTTGTTGTTGAGAGGAGGGTCATAAAAACGTTGAACGGGCTTCTGCTTCGAGAGCCTTGTGCACAACAAACTCGAACTCTCCTCGATCAATATACAAATACATGTGTGGGCTACGAAAGGTCCTTGGATAACCCACAAACTCTGCTGCTCTACCCAGCCACTACCAGACGTCCGAAGAGCAAGAGCCAGCGAGGGGCATCCAAAGGTTTTGGCGGTACGCGTGTCTCCTAGAATGCGACAGCAGAGAACCTACGACTGCTGCTACATTGTAGTCTATGTAAAGCGAAAAGAAGGAAGTCAAGTTTTTGGACAAAAGGTCTCCCGCTACCGGAAGCTAAATACCACATATTAATGGTAGCACTCGATGGGACTCAAAAGGGGGATGACTCACATCTACTGGAGCCAAGGCAGGCCCTTGGCAGGCTTCGAACAGGGCCATACGAGGCAGCAGTGCTTGCTGTGAGGTCAGTGTGCAGTGTGAGAGAGGAGAGAGGAGAGATGAGAGAACGAGGGTTTCCAGGTCAACCCCGCGAGGCGTTTCAACCGTTTGAATTTTGAAATGACGTGCATACCAGTATAGAGGCAACACCTCCTCTTCCCTCTGTCTCTCCCACTCTCCACCTTCCGCCGCCTTCAGCCATCTCCCTGTCTCCTTGCCCTTATATTTTCCTCTCTAAGTAGCTGTCTCTCTCTCTGTCTCTCTTTGAGGCTGTAGATGGCATGACAAGTGGTGATCGACATGGCAACAAGACTCCGGGCCAGGCCTGCTAGGAGACGTGGTTCGGCGAGATATCCATGGTCACTGCAGCCGGTATGTCTGCACCTGTATACTAATACCTAGGCCCTCCAATACTACAGGCCATTACGCCGCAGCATATAGTGACGGTGTCGCTGTGAAAGTCTTTGCCTTCCGCTACACACAACAACCGCAGTTGCACATTGCACAAAATTTTGCGGGGACTCCTTCTCGCTCACTTGAATAATAATATGGTAGCTGCTGTCCTTGCAGCAAGGATCATGCCGCAGGCCACCGGCCCAGAGCTGAGATACAGACCGCGGTCTTGTTATGTAATCTGCAGGATGCTTCTGATATGTCACATTCTACACTTGAAGATACATTACACGCCCTGTCTTTGCTGCGAAACTTAGAAATGCCGAGACATTTCGAGGGAAAGTATTGCTGCTCAAGCCTCGTTTCGCAGCTCTCGAACCAAGTCCCAAGCGCCTGGTCCTGGTAGACATCGAGAGGGTGTACAAAATCACTCTGCCCGGTCCTTCGCCGCCGTGCAGCATAGGCATTGAGTGGGTACATGGAAGATGTGGCGCAATTTCCATTTTGGATCCCCAATACCATATACGACACAAGATAACACACCCCCTGGACCGATTTTCAAAGCTTGATTACTCCACGACGAAAAGGATGCAAAACGAAGCGATACGTTCTCGGAGAGCTCTCGACCAGACGACTTCAACGCCGGCGTTTTCGACGCTTCGACTCTCTCTGCTGTTAATAAATCGAGCATTGAAAATCGGTCCAGGGGGTGTGTTATCTTGTGTCGTATACGGTACGGCGGTCGCTCATCATGCGATAATTAATCTGTGGATCTAGATACGGTAGATTCTGTAGATTAGCATGAACAGACTTGAAAGAAAACTCTTGACGAAAACGAATCTACCTCCTTCGTTGTTGAGGAAAAACAAATGATAAAGTTTTCAGTGCTGCGGTCGACATCGATAGGTTACCCTTATCAGGACCAATGGTTTCAACGCGTAGAGACCGCTTCTCAGAGATCCACCTATAGCCGGAGCTGTTGAGAATTGACAGCTCATCCTTGTCGGGAAAGTGACCTTTCAGGCTTCGTGCCACCTCGAGTTTTCTGATGAATCAAAACGAAGCAACGTTGCGGCACAAACAGTTGCATGTAGCGCCTTCTTGACCTCGTTGCGGTCGAATTTTATCCGTGAAGGTGTCGCGAATCGCCCTCGGGCACCACCCACTGGAGTTTGTGAGGCGTAAAGCTTGGACGTCGGCTCCTGTGAGGTTCGGGAACGGAATATCAGCCGTCACAAGCCTCTGTCTCTGTGATGAAGCAAGTGCCGGAGGTGAGGATGAACGGTTGAAGACCTACACGCCGCCGTTTCGGTAGTTCCGAGAATATTTGTTGACCAAAACAATTTTTTTATTGTTCGGCTGTATGCACATAGTAGACACAACATAAAAACGGGGCTGTTGCTTATCGGAATGCCTCGTGTGCTCCTGTGGTGGTGGTATTGGCGGTGGTCGTTACAGCTTCACTAACCGTGCAGCATCCTGAGGTTTCCTCGCGTCAACATTTTTTACCAATGAACCGTCCTTCTAAGCATGCTCCCATCATCCTGCCAAGCTGTGGAACACAGCTCGGCCCTACAGATCTGAGTGCTCGTAGCAGTGAACTGACTCCAACGTGCTTAGACTAACCCCCGGTACACTAACTCTGCTTCTTCACAAACACCACCTCCCAGGACCTTCTCTTCTAATCTCAGGAGACGAAGACGGCGGCGTATCTGTGCAGCGGGTGCAGACAGAAAGGGAAGGCGGTAGTGAAGGTTCGTCGCCATCGCCACCAGGATGGTTGGGAACTCCAGAGCGGACTAGGCTGCACAGCTCTTGTGTGAACACGTGAGAGCGATGTCGGCTACGGCGAAAGTTGTAGTTGAATTGCACGACCGGCCTCCTCCTACATCCTATGAAGGTCTTGGCTCATATTGGTAGCGCCGTGTTGCTTGCATCAATAGCAATTTGGACGGAGTGCTATCCATGAAACGACCCCGCCAACAACGCGCACACTGGAGGGACCAGTTTTACAGCACGTGCGTAAAGCACTCATGGCATGCTTGTATGCAACCATGTTACTTGGTATCAGTTGTATGCAACCATGTTACTTGGTATCAGTTGTCAACACCCTGAAAAGATCAGCAGAAAGTTTGATACCAATTAAAGTGATATCAGAAGCTGTTCCTTGCGTACCTTCGCAGAATCAAGATACTTCCCGACCAGCGAGGCTACGTGTGCGCTGGAGACGATGGCGCCCTGAGCGCTGTGGCTACGTTCGAGACTTGTTCGGAAGAGGATCTCCGAAGGGCTACCTTCGCATTGACGGGGCACTCGAGCTTCGTCACGGATTGCGATACCGCTGAAAGTGGACACGCAATACTCTCAAGCAGGTGTGACACCTCGGAAGATTTTGTCGTTCTTTGAATCGTTGCCGTGATTTGCATGAGGCCTGAGCCGGAAACAAGTAAAAGGCCAACGGTTGATTGTACAGTGCAGTACATGTGTGTGTGTTTGCTGTGTGTCTTTGGTAGATGCTTCGTTTTGTAATCGGCCGACGATTTGTCCACCTAGGACGCACACACTGCTGTTGTTCATGAGTCTACGCTCTTGCGTTCATAAGGACCCGGTTGTTTGCATGAAACCTCTATATAATGAAAATTATTGTTGGTAATGCTTGCTGAAGTGTCACGGCTTCGCTATTTTAGGCCATGGACACTGCTTGGTCGGCGCCTCTCACTGTAGAAATGTGCGCCTGCAATCGTAGTCGTTGCCAACTCTCCATAAAGCGTGCAAGCACACACTAGCGATTGTAATCGTCTCAGCGTCTTCTGCGTCTCCCGCCGCCCACACCCTTACGAAAGTACTGATGGACGAATGCTACTGTGGGATCCCGTGGCCACGAACACTCCGGTGGCTAGCGTCTCGGTCGGCCGCCCGGTCAATAGCGCCTGCTTCTCTGCCGGAGATCCCTACGCGCTTCTTTGTGCTCCCGAGCTCGGCACGAATTGCACAAGGGGACATGGAAACGACGACCTTGTTCAGATATGGGACCTAAGGTAAACAGAACAAGAAACCCACGCTCAGTGCAGTGTGCGCATCTCGTTGGGTATGTTCGTAGAAGTCTCACCAAAATTGCCCCCAACACCTTCCTTTCCGTCTTCCGTTTCCTGCACGGCGGTGAGTGCCTCTCTCTCTTTTCATTCATTGTTCGTGTTCCGCCTGCTTTACTTGTGGCTGTGTAGGTCCTTGAGGTGTTTCAAAGACGCCATCCCCGCAGCTGTCGCAACGGCTTTCGGTGAAGATCCACCTGCGACGACACCGCACGACGCTTCCATGCAGCCCCCGCCCCCTCAGTCCCCGCAATTCTGGACCACTTCAACGACACGAAGCAGTACAGCACGCACACCTGCCCACATCCCTCCGTGGCTATCAACGGTTTTGGGTTCTTCAGTTCCCTCGCCAGCGACGCCCCTCTTGGTAAGCGTTTCTTGCCGAGGCATGGATTTACGTAAGATATGGGGGTACAACGGTGAATGGAAAGAACAACGGTGCAACTTGGAACTACAGCGATGAAATGCCGAAGTACTTTTGCGGCCGCGCTTCTCTATTCAGATCATTTTTTTGTTTTTTTGGTCCAGCGGTGTTTTTTGCCTTGCCCTTAGAAAGCTCTTTTATCCATACATGCAAGAATGTGCCGTGCACTTCGTTCCACTCTGTCTCATCCTCGTCCCCGCTGTCGTCGTCCGCACTGCATGCTCTACGATGACGTTGTGGGCTTTTTAGAGGAGGCCTGCATGGACAGGCGATAGCAATGACGCGGAGTCCGTGGCCTCATCCACTAGAGGCAGTCGCGAGCAGTGCAGCTATGAGACGCCTTCCGGGAAGGAGAACGACTTTCCCCTTCGCTCAAGCGGCGGCAGCACCACCAGTAGGATCAGCAGCGCAAGCAGCAGTTGCAGCAACAGCCCCTGGAGCGGGAGAAGAGGAGGCACTGAAGGTGCCTCGAACCCTGGTTTTAGTCCCTCTCCTTCGTCGAAGGACAGAGGGCAGCAGGGCCCCGCAGGGCCAACCCGCAAGGTGCTGTTGCCTGCGCGGGACGAGCCTCATGCACGTCTTTCCGTGTCCTCTCTTCCAGCATCCGGTTGCCTGCACGAAGGGAACGGGAAGACATGGATCCCTGGCGGCTTAAAGACATGGCAGGCGAGCAGGCGGCGAGTTCGCACAGCGGGGGCACGGATATGCGCGGGAGAGGCCTGCGTTGCGTGCAGCACTAGTGCAGCTGCGAGCGCGTGTTCAGTCCAGGTTTCGTCCGATGGGAAAGGGATTCTAGTGGGATCACGAAATCGCACTGTCACTCTCTTCGACACCCAATCTCACGAGGTCGTATACCGCTTTGGCTACCCAAGGCTGTCTCGTGCCCGCCCAGTGCTTGTGGAAAGCTCTCCGAATGGTGGCGTTGGGGGGTGGGGTAGAGGCAGGGGCGGGACCGGGAGTGGGGATGTCTTCGCCGGAACCATGGAAGGGGAGCTTCGATCTTGGAGAGTAGGTTCGCAATTCCCCAACCGTGTCTTCAAAAAGGCGAGCCACCACCGGGGCTTCGAGATTTACTCTGTTGCCATAAGCAATAGCGGCTGTATGTTTGCCTCATCCGACTCCAGCGGAGCGGTTTACGTACAGTCAGCCACGTCCGGGAGAGACGCCCAGGACAGCAGTGGGGCGGATGCCAAACATTCAGGGGGAGACTAGCACCTTTGCTTCAAAGGGCAGCACCGTATGCTATGGAGTTCTTGAGGTAGCCTAGACTCGGGTGTAAAGTATGATGAGTAGTATTCAGAAACTGCCAACAACTGTTGCAATAACCTTGTTGCTTCGCACGCGGGAACACCGGCAACTACACACGATGGCACGGACTGTCCAACCTGTTCCATGAGCGGGTGAAAGGGGGAGGCACGGCATCAAGACGGGTTCCCGTTAGAGATGGGTACCGGACGTGAAAAAACATCCGATAACCGACTAGGAGGCGTTATTCTCAAAATTCAATAACCGGTATAACCGTTTTTTTTCAGCCCCGATTAACCGGTTACACCAGTTAACTGGATCATATAAGGAAACGCCTCCGCAATCTCTCAAAACTGGGTCTGTTTTGTGGCTATGGCATACACACCATCTTTCAATTCTACCGGTGTATGGCGCAATATTTCACGCACACGTTGTATTGTCGTAGGGTCAAAGAAGAGATGGGCACCAGAATGGAACAACCAATGAGCGAAAAACGGCTAGGAGACGCTATTCTCAAGTAAAAAACCGCCGAATAACCAGGGTTTTCAGCGCCAGTTGACCGGATAACCGGTTATAACCGTTTGAAAAACGCCTCCTTTTCGAAATGCCTCCTCTATTCTTTTTTTGATAACCGTCGCTCATATCCAGATAACCGAGTATTACCAGTTATTTTTCAAACGGGGCCCATCTCTAGTTCCCGTTCGGTAGAGCCTGCCCATTCGACACCTCCCGGCACGTTGACGAAGGACAACTTCTGAAGCAACATTTATAGAAAACCAAATGGCCACCGCTACCACGCCTGAAAGCACTGAGTTGGATTTTGAACTATGTTGTTTGTTGCCACAGGTCCAGCTCTTCTAGCACGGAGAATACGGGTAAAATCCACCAACACGAATACAAAACGTGCACGTGGGCATATCACGTTTAAAAAACAGAACAGAACATACACTTTAGGCGGCGGGTATTCAACAGGGAAAGACACCCGAAAACACGTTAACATATATAGAAAAGAGAGTTTCATGCGCGAAACGAATACCCAAACCGAACCACACAATACGCACGGTGTATGCAGCGTTTTCATGTGCATCGGCCTCCGGCCGTTCTATGTCCTATGAAGTCGCTTACGCGCACACAGCACCTCCGAACCATTGTAAACATTTCAAAACGTACAGACGTCGAATACCACGAATACACACCCGGAGCAAAAGCTGCGGATGATGCGCAGAAAAAGAGAGGTACGGGCACGCCCAAACCCAACCCGACCCTCACGGTTCTCCATCTGCACGCTGTTCGCAGAATATTTTGCAATTGCCCTCGTTGTCTCCGGTCACGATCACACGGCTCGATGTCCCTCCGAGGTTCTTCGCCACGCTAGCGGGGGCAAAGAAGGCCACCGGGACACCTACCCTCTTATCGCACACCCGCGCCCGCTCGTGCCCCTCCCGCCCACTTGACCAAGTCACCGATTTGGTGCCTGGCGGGGTGGTCGGCGTTGGCCAGACGTGAACACTTCCATCTGTGGCACCGCTTACGATCAAGTTTCCGTCGTCGCTGTATCGCGCCGCCGTGTGCCGCCCGAGTTCCCCCTCGGTGCTGTGCCCTTTGAGCTTGAACCCGACAGTCACACCCCTCTCCCCTGACACCAGTATGCGCGAGCGGTTGTCGTTTGTGCTCACAAGGAGGTCAGCCTCGAGACGCTCCACCCACAGATTGCCACTGCCGTTCGCATCCTTCTCGTCCGCCTGCGGTGCCACGACCTCACCTCCAGCGCGGGGACTCGGGGCTACCTCCTGCGAGTTTTCACCCATCTTCCCCCCAGTGCTGCGTGAGGCGCCGCTCAGTCGGTGCTCTTCCCCATCTGAATCACTGCAGTCCCCCGCCAGCTCAGCCGGCCCTTTCGTTGGTGGGCGGAAGCACAGTCCCGTAACTCGTTCCTCTACAGTGCCTGGAACTCGAGCTCCGGCTCTCGACCCCAATGTGTTTCGTCGTCTTCTGCCGCGTCCTCTACCGCTGCCACCGTTGGTATTGCCGTTATCGTTGATCTGGACGCGGTCGCCGCCGGCACCATTTGACCGCCCGTCGCCGGTGCCCACGGACAGTCGTCTAACGGGGCTCGTCGCGAGGCGTGTTCGCTGTGCAGCCGAATGCCGAAAGCCATGCCGGCGGCACTCGACCGTCAGCTCGAGCGACATGTTTTCCATGCGGTAGAACTCAACGTTGCCGGCTATGCCGCCCGCGGCAAAGCTTTGTCCCCCCGGACAAAAAGCGACGGCAGTCACAGCCCTCTCCGACAGAACCGACTGTTCCACCTCCGGAGAATCCAAGGAAAACAGTCGGATTCTCGCGTCCATGCACCCCGTCAAAAATCTGCCCCCGTGCGCTTCACCTCCGGGCTCCCAGGCCACGGAAGTCACCCCCCCCCCGTGCTCGTAAACTTCCGAGCACTCGTTCCCCTCCAACGGGTGCCAACAGCGCACAGTCCCGTCGGATGACCCTGTCAAGAGCGCGTTGTCCCCCCCCGCCCAAGCCAAGGCCACGACAGAATCAACATGCCCCGTGAGAACCCGCAGAGGTTGGTCGTCTACCAGGCGCCCCTCCACGCAAACGGAGCTCGGCTGCCTCGACATTCCTCGGTCCACCGGAAGGCCAACGGCTACCGCTGCGGCGTTCGGAGAACCTTCTCCGAGAGCCAGTGTTTGGCGACGCTTTTGAACCCGAAAAACGCAGCAGCGTCGGTCCATTCCGCATGTCGCGAGGAATGCACCGGAAGGGCTGAACGACATCGCCCTCACACCTCCGGGGTGGAGCCTCGGCAACAACTGGGTTGTGCTCATGTTGCGGAGCTTGAAAGTGGGGGGTGCGTCGACGCTGAGGATAACACTGCTTGTCGTGCTGTCGCTGTTGCTTCGGCCATGGGAGTTGCTTCCACAGCGCGGACGCGAGAAGGACTGTCCTGACACCGGCGATCTCGCCCCAAACCGCAAGGGCGACGCCCTACCTGACAAGCTCGAAAACCCCAATTGGAGAGAAGGCGGGGTGAGCGGACCCGCAGGGGCCAGCGGGAAGTAAGCAACGTCGCCGTTGCTTGGAGGAAGCAAAGTTGGCCGCTGAAATGCGGGGGCTTTGTGTCGCTGCAGTCTTGGCCAGCCCCTGCTTCCGTGTGAGTGGGATCCCAGGCGTGGTGAGACCGTGGCCCATTGGGGGGCTGGACGACGAGCCAAAAGTGTGTCTGCGAACGCTGTGGCCTCGACCTCCTGGCCAGTTTCCTTGTTCTTCAACAGCCATTTCGATGGATCGCTCACAGCTTCATAAACTGCAAGGGTATCCTCGCCATGAGAAGGTTTATAGGAGAGGTAGCTCTCGAAGGTCGCACCATCACTCGTGTCCGGCTTGAGAGAAGAAACGGCTCTCGGAGACTCCGCCGGTGGCTGTTTGGCAAGGTTCGATGCAGCAGCATCGCTGGTCCCGGGGCTTTTCTTGGCGGGCAGAGGTGGCATAACCGATTCCTTCCCATTATCTGACAGAAAAAACAAAGAGGCGTGCACGACAGCATCGCAATACAAGAAGAAGAAACAGCGGGTGTTATGTCTACCAAACTGCAATTGAGCGCTCAGATGGTGCCCATGTAAGCTGCATCTTGCAAATTACGCAACTTCATAATAATTACGCAGGAAAAATAAATGCAAACACGGAAAGATTACCCATGCGAGATATACCCAGAGTCGAACGGGATGTGTTGGAGTCTTTGCGGCAGTGAGTGGAGGGGAACCAGCTGGGGACTGGGAGTCTATTTATGCGTGTATACACTGAAATTTCATCAGTGATGCCAGCAGGTGCTAATCACACAAAACACTGTCTAGATACAAATACCACAAGATATCTCCCCCGTAGTTTCCTCTTTCTACTGGGTCAACGACAAAAATATCGGGGAGAAACCCTCCGTTATGTCGTGTCTACCATCGCTTGCTGTAAATGTAGTTGGGCGAGAATCGTTCTTTTGGCGTTTTGACGTACACGTTGGATCAGGTTGACTTGCAGTCGAGTGACATTTTTCTCAGCTTATACTCCACACCTATCCCGCCGCGCGTGCGTTCTGCTTCCACTGCTGCTGGAGGGACAAACAAAGGCGGAGTTGTTGCACACAAGACTTGTGTGTGTGAAGGGGTGGACAGATTGCAAGAGATAATGGGGGTGATGCGCGATGATGCATGCACTATGATGTGAGCATGATGACGACTAGCAACGCCGACGATATTCGTCGTCTTGATGTTAAAGCAATTAATTCGACAAACTTGAATCATGATCTATATAGAAAAAATACTATACATCAGTCAAGCGTTGAGCAGTCGGTCAAACTAAAAACTCGAGTTGACCAACACGAGCAACCCGTCATCATACCGCCATGTACATGCGCTCCACCCGCGGACGCTACCCCCCCCCCCCCCCGCCCCCCCGTTCCTGTCGCCTCGGAGGGTGCTCAGTTATTCGGCAGAGCACCCATACATAGGGCAATTTTTTTGTAAGACACGGAAGAACTTCCAACAATTATCTATGTTTTAGAGGGGTAGAGCCGGGTAGGTGCCTGACTCCAACCAATCACCCGTCGAGTTTGTAAGACATTTTGTAATACAGAGACAGATGATTGGGCGATGGGCACGACGCTCTCGGCAGAATCACTGATATCCTCTCGCACAGCAGCACCATACACACCACGTAGACAACGTACGATACAACCAGCATAGCAGTATACGGACTGCTGTAGGCCAAGGGCAGCCAAAGGCATACATCATGGGAGGCGTTGGGTTGGACTCTTGCGGCCCCTTGCCTGCTGTCGGCAGCACAAGCGAGTGACGACGCAAGTCAACCCGCGGTCCGTCTGCATCACCCTCAACCTACCGATCTTTGGAGCTTCCCGCACAGACGTATCCCCACAACAGAGAAAACGAGGCCTGCACACTGCTGTAGGCCAAGGCCGGCCAAAGGCACACATCATGGCTGGCGTCGGAAGCTATTTTTAGACCCTGAGGCCTACTGCTAGCAGCGTAAGCGAGGGAACATGCGAGTGCACACAAGTGAGATCTTTGTCTGCTGTCTCTTCGTCTGCCGGCCGATCTTTGCTTCCACAGCAGATGCACCCCAGAAACAGAGACAAGTGAGACGTACACAGTGCTGTAAGCCATGGGCGGCCAAATACGCACGTCGTGGGAGGGGTCGGGCCCAATTTTTCGAGCCTGTTGCCCTCTGCTAGTAGCGAAAGCGAAGAAAGCAAGTGCGCACCCATGCACAGCAGCAGCGGCAGCGCCGGCAGCAACAGCAAGCAGCAGCAGCAGCAGCAGCACTGCTGCCGCTGAGCTGATGATGATGAGAGCTAAACAGCTCTCCCATTCATCCCCTGACTGACTGGTGGTATCGGGTGAGGTGTGAGCGTGCGCACTGGTGACCTACGTGGTGGCGTAGGCTCCATCCATATCTATCTACGCTTGCTTTGATGTCTCTCTCCGACCCTTCTTTTCGCGCTTCGCGCGAAATATATATATATTTTTGTTGGACCCCTATGTATGGGAGGTGAGCCAGTTATTCGACCTCTTTCCAAAATCGTCGTGGTCCCGAGCACCCTCCTTCGGCGCCATCTATGCGACCTTCTTTTGATCCAGCCAGGCGAGACTTCACGGGTAAGCTTGTAAACACCGCGGCCGGAAACCCGGTCGACTTCTCCACAACAGTGACGAGGGGCCTTCGACATCGCTCGTGAAAGGCGTACGAGGGCACGTCGCTGCTAGCCATACTCGTTACCGTTATGGAGAAGTCGACCGGGTTTCCAGCCGCGGTGTTTACAACCTTATCCATGAAGTCTTGCCTGACTGGATCAAAAGAAGGCCGCATGGCGGGCGCCGAAGGAGGGTGCTCGGGACCACGTCGAACTGAATACCCTCCGAGGGGACAGGGAGGGGGGGAGTAGCTCCCATGGGCAGAGCGCGTGCACATGGATGGCGGCATGATGACGGGGTTGTTCCTCGTGACCCGTCTCCAGTCAGTTTGACTGGACTACTCAATATTGCTTTTCGGATTCTGTGTGCTACTTCTTATTTGTCGATATTCATCACACACAAAAAATTGGCAACCTTGTTTCGTCGGTTGCATCTATATGTTTGGCTTTGGGATACCGTAGTGTTTCTGAATAACTGAACACTTGGTTTAAATGACACAATCATATTAATAGCTTCAACATGAAGAGACTAACGCCGGTTGCTTGTGTGACAACACATTCAAGGATGGGATAGTGGAAACACACGTAGGGCTATATTAATTCGTCGCTTCTGTTTCCCGTACTTGTTCGGGTCGAGTACTGGCTTTCACAGAAAAAACAGTAACCCGTCATAAGTACATTGTAGCCTAGAACAACGAGCAGCGACTGCCGCTGCGGTAGCAGCGAGAGGAGCTGTGCCGAGACAACCGCAACACAGGATAAAGGCTAAAGCGGTATCCACACGAGTACATGTACTTCGCACTGCGTACAATGTTAAGCGTATGCGTTGTCCGTTGCGCATCAGTTTGAGATTCCTTACCTTGCCGAGATTGGTTTTGCAACGAGGATGAACAAGCAAAACACAGAAAATGGACAAACCGACCCAGTGTCATACATGTTTTTTCCTTTCTTGGAGGAAGACACGGATGTCCGAAGCACGGAGAGTCGCAGCAAGCTGTGTGCTCAGAGAAAGCGATGTGTTCCGGTACTGTGTGGTAGAGGAAGAGGGCTGCTAGCTGCTAGCGCACGAAACTGTGAGGGTGCCCCCTCCTAGTTCCCTCGGGTGTGTGGTTGACCAAGCAGAGTCTTGCAAGGGAAGGTTCTTCAGCTTGTACCGCTACACGTGTCGAAGATGAACTTTCAGTGCAAGGACTCAGACTGACCCTATGGCAGCTAGGAGTCTCGGCATACCGTAATTGTGCGTGTTATGGCACCGGGGTGCGATCGTTTTTTAAATCATTCCTATCTTGGCTTTTATCGCGTTCCCTCGGGTGTGTGGTTGACCAAGCAGAGTCTTGCAAGGGAAGGTTCTTCAGATTGTACCGCTACACGTGTCGAAGATGAACTTTCAGTGCAAGGACTCAGACTGACCCTATGGCAGCTAGGAGTCTCGGCATACCGTAATTGTGCGTGTTATGGCACCGGGGTGCGATCGTTTCTTAAATCATTCCTATCTTGGCTTTTATCGCACCCCGGTGCCATAACATGATGGTGCAGAAATGCAACTAAGTAATTTCGTTCTGGATTTCCTGCGCACCCCGACGAGTGCGATACGGAAGAAATCACACTGTGGCCATTTTACGGTGCTGAGTGAACACACCCCGGCGCGATGACACCGATAGGTGCGATACTCCAGAAACGAACACAAGTGTTTCCTGGTACGAGTACAACACCGCAATTGTGCCTATTACGGTACTTCAAATGAAGCGGCTGATGATAGGAGTTTAGGGTAGCATGTTGCCAAAGACAGCAGACGCTGTGGTTCCCTGCTGGGAAAGATATACGGTAGTTTGTTTTTCTTCCAATCTCTTTGTTGGTCACAAGCCCCTCATTTGATGGCTGGTGCTTCCATCTGTATTTGTCCTCAAGGGGCATGGCACCGGTACAATTGTAGTACCGTTTACGAACTCAATCTACTCGGTTGGTTGGAGGTGCGGGGTGTGTTCTGCGTGCTTAGTTGAGTGAGTGAGTGCATTCGATATACTGATTATTACCGTAGAAAAAGAACATGAATAATTTCTACCGCACCTTGACGGTACGATATACACACATGAACGGAATGGCGCCCCAGCCGTTCGTGACATTCAAGCTTGACACGTGGCCCGGAGGGTTCCGGAACCTTGCGGAAGCACGCAAATTTACGGTCTAAGCAGGTTTTATATCGTTGATATCGCACCGGGTGCGTTAACACCGATACCGGTGCGAAAATGCAATTAAATCATGCCGTTTTCGATACTTTTGCGCTCCCCGGCGCCATAACACCGGTGGGTGCGAAACCAACGATGGGCGCCACAACACGCACAATTCCGGTATGTCACTTACACAGCTGTTTATCGGATCAATACATGCCGCATACGTGCATCTACAAACAATATCTGCATTCCGATGGTTGGGATCGCTGAGACTGTTGGGGAAAATTCGAAACTTGTCAAACATTTTTTGTTTTTTTTTTTCTGACGATCGCGTGCCGCTCTTGTCGCCAGAACGTCTCTATCTGTATGCACCAAATGCATACATCGGATATGATGTTGCTGTGTCATCGCGAACTTTACACGGAGTAGACCAGTACCCTGCCCACCAACACCTAACATTCGAATAAAATAAATAAATAAAGCACCCCCTCCCCAATAAAGGATGTAGCGAAGCCTCCATGCGACTCGCCGATATCTTCACGGCGCTTCGCGCTTGGTGATGTGCTAAATAACCTGGTCCGGTGAACAAGCGGTGTGCTCCGTCCGGACTTTGTCGCGA